GAGAGAAGTTAATAAATGCTAAGATTTTTTTTTTTAAAATAAAAAAATCAAAAAATTTAGATTGGGAGATTGGAGCTCCCACAAGGCTTGGGATTAAAAACCCCCTTTTACTTAATATATAGTATAGATATAGATGCTAGAAGTCCTAAAAATTCTAGATTATTTTGAATTTTGAATTCAAAATTTAAAATCATAGATTTTGAATTCTAGAGACCCTTTCTTATTTTGAATTTTGAAATTTAAAATCATAGATTATTAGTGCCTTTATTGTTTTTTTATTTGAATTATTTTGATCAATATTATTTTTGAAAAGAGTGGGGGCAACTTATCATATTATTTTGAATTTTAAAATTCAAAATCATAGATAATTAGAGCTTGTTTATTTGTTTGTTTTTTTAAAAAAATTTTTTGACTTAAGGAACTAACCGAGAGAGTTGTTTTTATTTTATTTTATTTCGTTAAAAATTAACAAATTAACAAAATTAGTTTGGGAGTTTAGAACTCCCCAAATCAATGCTCTTAAAAAGTTCATTTTCCTTATATATATAGATTTGTTTAAAATACATGCGTTCAAATTATTAATCGCTATTAATTTTTATTTTTATTTTTGTCTTTTTTGATTTTAAATTTTAGAAAAAATAAAAATTTTTAATACAAATTTATTTGTTTGTTTAACAAAAGACAAAAACATTAAGAAAAAGAATAATATGATGGATTCTGTTAATTTTTTTTTTAATCTCAATAGTCAATTATTAAAATAAAAAATAAAATGTTTTTGGCTTAAATAGTTAAGAAGTGATTTTTGCTAAAATCAAATAGAAATAAATATTATTTTTCTATTAAAAGTGATAGTTGGTGAGATTTATTTATTTTATATAATTAAAAAAATGAAAAATATGTGTGATAGCTTATTGTTTCAGTAATGCTAAAGACGCACACTGTCACTCACAAAGATGTGGTAAGGGAGTAATTCCTTGGCATAATTGTTTTTTGATTTTTAATGAAGCTACTACATGTGTATTGTATGTGTGTGTTTATAGATATGAAAATGATTTGCAAACGTAAAATTTATATATAAAAATTTACCAGTTTTGTACATGTATAAAATTAAGGAAAAATATCAAATCAGTGTAATTTTATAAAAATAATATAAATTGGCAAAAAATTCTATAAATATTAATAATTAAAATTATAAACTTTTTCATAAACTTGTAATTTTTTTTTCAAAATTCCACCGGGGTGCAATTACTCCTAAAATTTATATGAAAATGATATAATGATATTTTTCAAATAGAAAGTTAGTCGATATGTTATTGGTTTACAATTGATGAACATAAAATTGTTACATTAATTGGCCCCGTTTGGTGTAGCTGTTAAAATAACTTATAGATTATAGCTTAACAGATTATAGATTATGACTTTAATAAGAAGTTGTTAATCTGTTTGGTGTAACTGTTGGATTATAGATTTAAGTTGCTGAGTAGTGTTTGTTAAATAAGCTGTGAAATAGCTTTTTCAATTAATTTTTATTTTTTGTTTGTCTACATTTCTCATAAAAAATAATAATAATAATTTATAGTCCATTTGAGTTTTTTTCTATTTTTAAAAAAATAAAAAATAAAAAAATTTAAGAGTATAACCATAAATTAACATGTCCACAGCAGAAGCTGATAATCAGAAGCAAGGGGTGAGCAACTTCTCAGAATCAGCTTTTTTGAGTTAAAATAAGCTGTTAGAATCAGAGGTTGTTTGAAATAAGTTTAACCAAACAGTCCAAAATAACTTTTTCAAAGCTAAAAGCCATAAATTAGCTCTGAAAAGCTGAAACAAACACCCCCATTAAAGTGTTATTATGAGAGTAAGATTTGGGGGTTGAGAGAAGTTAATAAATGCTAAGGTTTTTTTTTTTAAATAAAAAAATCAGAAAATTTAGATTGGGAGATTGGAGCTCCCACAAGGCTTGGGATTAAAAACCCCCTTTTACTTAATATATAGTATAGATTGATATAGATGCTAGAGGTCCTAAAAATTCTAGATTATTTTGAATTTTGAATTCAAAATTTAAAATCATAGATTTTGAATTCTAGAGACCCTTTCTTATTTTGAATTTTGAAATTTAAAATCATAGATTATTAGTGCCTTTATTGTTTTTTTATTTGAATTATTTTGATCAATATTATTTTTGAAAAGAGTGGGAGTAACTTATCATATTATTTTGAATTTTAAAATTCAAAATCATAGATAATTAGAGCTTGTTTATTTGTTTGTTTTTTTAAAAAAATTTTTTGACTTAAGGAACTAACCGAGAGAGTTGTTTTTATTTTATTTTATTTCGTTAAAAATTAACAAATTAACAAAATTAGTTTGGGAGTTTAGAACTCCCCAAATCAATGCTCTTAAAAAGTTCATTTTCCTTATATATATAGATTATTTACCTAAGTCACGAGCTGAGTTAGATATGTGATAGACATGTGAGTTTTATTGATTTAAAATATGATGGTATGAGATATTTTCAAATTAGATTTGGTTAGATAGATTTTAAAGGTTTTTAAAATTTAAAATTAGATATTGAGAAGCAAAAGAAAGATTTTAACTGAATAAATAAATCATATTTATTAATTTTATTTGTTTGTATATCTGATTTTTAATTTTTGTTTTTGGGTTATGTTATATAATATATAGATAGATACTTACAATTCTCATGAAAAATATTATTTGATTTTTTGATGGAGAGAAAAGAAAGGCACGTTTTAATATTTTTTCTTTTGGAAATCGATAAAAGAAATTACAATAAAGAGATTATGAAATATTTTTTTTATCTTTTCATTTGAAATCCATAAATTAAGGGATAATTATTATTTTCAAAATAATTAAATATGTATGAGAGAAGTTGAAAAGGAAAGATAATTATTATTGGGGGATGCACCAATAAATCCCAAATTAATAACTTATGCACTGTTTAGTCCTAAAAGTTTTCTTATAGACTGAAAGGTCCCATTACAATGTTAGTAACATTAGATACAATGTTAATAACATCAGAGTCATGTTACAAACATTGGATTTCAAACATCTAATGTTCATCAAATTTCAATAATGTTTGAAAATATAGGATGAAAAACATCTAATGTTCATCAGATTTCAATAAATTTTGAAATTATAGAATGAAACATCAGATCATTTACATCATTCACATCATGTTGATGTAAAAATGGGACTAAATGGAGCATAAGAAAACTTTTAGGACTAAATGGTTCAACGTTTCAAAAACTAGGACTTATGAGTAAATTTTCCATTATTATTTTCAAAATAATTAAATAGGTATGAGAGAAATTGAAAATGGTGTGTATAAGAGAAGTCAAAAAGACTTGAAAGAAATCCATAAGTGCTGAATTTCTTTTTTAAATTAAAAAATTAAAAAATTAAGATTAAGGTATTAGAACTCCCCAAGACTTGTGAGCTAGAAATTTTTAAATGTCTTTTTTTTTTTTAAATGTCTTCTTTTTTTATTTTTTTATATTATATTAAAGTTTAATATTTTGATAATAATCATATGTTTTGGACATTTTAAGAAATTAAATGTCTTCTTTTTTTTATTATATTATATTAAAATTTAATATTTTGATAATAATCATATGTGTTGGACTTTTCAAGAATTTTTTTTTATGTTTGTTCTTAATACATTAAAGTGTTATTATGAGAAATAATAATCATATGTATTGGGACTTTTTAAGAAATTCATATGTGTTGGATTTCAAAGAATTTTTTTTATGCTTGTTCTTAATGCATTAAAGTGTTATTATGAGGGTAAGACTTGGAGGTTGAGAGAAGTTAATAAATGCTAAGGTTTTTTTTTTTTAAATAAAAAAATCAGAAAAATTAGATTGGGAAATTGGAGCTCCAACAAGGCTTGGGATTAAAAACCCCCATTTGCTTAATATATGGTATAGATGCTAGACGTCCTAAAAATTTTATCAAAAGTTCTATCAGATATGTCACGTGGGTGTGGGACCCATATGAAACCCACATTGTATGGGTCCCACACCCATATGACATATTTAGTAAAACTTTTGGTAGAATTTGTAGGCTCCTAGTGTTACTGTTCCTATTACAAAAATGTTAAAGATCTCAAAAATTCTATAAAAGTTCTATCAAATGTGTGTGGGACCCATATTGAACCCACATTGTAGGGGTGCCACACCTATATGACATATTTGGTAAAATTTGTCACCTCCTAGTATTACTCTTCCTATTACAAAAAATACTAGAGGTCTTAAAAATTTTATCAAAAATTCTACCAAATATTATGGGTGTTGAACTCACATGGAACCATATTATATGGGTCCTACAACCATATGACATATTTAGTAAAATTTTTAATAAAATTTATAGACTCCCTAATATTACTCTTTCTATTACAAAAATACTAAAAATTTTATTAAAAATTTTATCAAATATATCACATAAATGTAAGATCTACATGTAATGGTCGACGCCCCTATAATATATTGGGGTGTCTTAAATAAGTGCACTTTTTGTCTTTTTGGACTAAAAAATTGAGGAAGAAAATATAGATATTTGGATTAATTTTTTGACTTTTTATGAAAAAATGTGTAATAAAAAATTATAAAAATTGATTTGTAGAAAAAAATTAAGATTGAGAGTTGTGCAGCCATAATTATTAACTTTTTAAGTAATTTTTTGATTTTTTAACTTTTTTACAATAGGTTAGACTGGCCTTAGTAAAACATTTGGTAGAATTTGTGTGCGCCTAGTATTACTCTTCCTATTATATAATGAGCTGTGCCTTATACTGCAGTGGGGGTCGCAGCCCCAGTAAGGTGGGGGCGCCCCCACCGGCTGCCAACCGAAAAAAAAAGAAAAAAAAAAAATTTATTTTCTTCCTTCAAATCATGGGCCTCCATCTCACTGGGTCGACCCCAGGACCCCCAAGTGGGGTATAAATCATTTTTCATTATATAATGATTCATTCCTTCCGTCGTTTCCACTTGCGCAGTACTTCACCACTGTTGGACGAGTCCTCGTCGTCAAAGCTTCTTCTTCTCTTTCTCTCTCTCTCTCTCTCTCTCTCTCTCTCCTCACATCTCGTTTTCTCTCTCTCCAACTCCAATGGCGGACAACGAAACCACCGCCTCCTCACCTGCGGTGGAAATCAAACGCTCTTGGGGCGACGAAGCCGAAGAAGAAGAACCAGACACCCCATCGACGTCCGACAACAAAACCACCTCCGACCTCAAACTCGACTCTCTATCTATACACGACACCAAAAAGCTCCACAATTTCCTCGACGACCCCCAAGACTCCAACATCAAAGCCGTACTCTCTCTCTCTCACTCTCTCTCTCCCTCCCTCTCACTCACTCACTCTCTGTATTTCCTATTTCTAGGCTTTGATTTCACATTTGTAGGGTTTTCAATTGATTCCAGGTCACAGCGGGCGATACTTTGTATATATCTGCGAAGACTTTCGAAGAATTGAATCTGTCTGCTGACTTGTTGAAGGGTTTATATGTGGAGATGAAGTTTGAGAGGCCGAGTAAGATCCAGACGATCAGTTTGCCTATGATTCTGACCCATCCTTACAAGCACTTGATCGCTCAGGCACACAATGGTTCTGGCAAGACTACTTGTTTCGTGCTTGGCATGTTGAGCCGTGTTGATCCCAAACTCACTGCTCCTCAGGCGCTCTGTATCTGCCCTACCCGAGAATTGGCGATCCAGGTTCGTTAACATATGCAAATCTGTACATAATTTCTATTTGTTGATGTTTACAAGTATCTGAATGTTTGAACTCTGTTTAATATATATATATATATATATATTTTTTGGCATGTGAATTTGGTTTTAATTAATGGTACTCTTTGGGTTGGGATTTCAGAGTTTTAATCATATTTATTTATTCCTTTATGTATATTTTGTTCTCTTTTGATCCCTGAAGTGTCTTTGTGAATTCAGGGTTCCCCTCAACCTTTGGATAGGGAAAGGGATTATGGATTATTTGGATAGGGAATGGGAAAATCTGAGGAAAATGTTAATGAAGTATAAGCTCAATTTTTTGGATTTTAGGCTTCATTTGGCAAATGGGTTTGTAACCAAAAAGTGAAATATCACTCTCTCAACTTTCTGCATGCCTTTTCATAAAAAGCCAAAAAAATCAACTAAAATAGCCAATTGTCAAACGGGGAAAGTGTGGTAGTGTGTGGTTTCTTTAGGTTGCTTGTGGGTGTTTAAGTTTTGTTGGTTGGGTTCGCTGTGGTGATTTTATTTATTTATTTGGCTGCTAGTCTATGTAGTTATGTATTTGTTATGTTCTGTTCTGCAATGTTTGTGAAACTAAGGATGAATTAATGATATATGGTTCTCTGGTGGGTTTAAAGATCAGTGTTCTTTAACATGTAGTTTAATATTTAATCAATGGTAGCAAGTGGATCGTGTGTACACATTTTGTTGGGACTTTTCTCTAAAGTGTTTGTGAGTTTAGGATTTAACTAATAGTAGTGGATGACAATGATGCAGAACATGGAAGTTCTTAAGAAGATGGGGAATTATACAGGAATTACTTCTGAATGTGCTATACCAATGGATAGCAGCAATTATGTTCCAATTTCAAAACGAGCACCAGTGACAGCACAAGTAGTGATTGGCACTCCTGGTACAATCAATAAATGGGTGACAGCAAAGAAATTGAGCACGAACTATTTGAAGATTCTTGTTTTTGATGAAGCTGACCACATGTTGGCAGAGGTACTATCATACCTCTTATTGAGATTATGTATGTTTTATGTGCTTATGATAAAACCCAAAAATTAGTGGCCTACTGTATCTAAATTTTTTGATATCGTTTTCCTTGCTATGCTGCTTTTGTGGTGACTATATGGTGACTTTCTCAATTCTAACATGCATGCCAACTTTTGTGATTTACTACTTCTTTCATACCCAAAATTAGATATCGTGGAGGACCCTAATATTGTCTTTCTTTGGAAAAGAAACAGAGTCAGAATGAGGAAATGGGGTGATTTTGATTTATCACATCTATCCAAGAGTGGGGTCAACGTTTGAATTTGACATCCGACTGTTGATAATTTCTGATTAACATGTATTTGTGCTTTATTGTCTACGTGAGTGTGGTATTTGATGATATCTCCTCAATCTCTAAGCTATTACCTGTTTTTTATTCATTAGCTATGTGAAAACTAGGTTGTATACTGATTGGTAGAGTCACAAGCAAATTGAGCAGAGCAAAGTTATAAGCTGTTTGAGCTTGGATTGTTCAACTTAGATGATTTTTGAGCTCTGCTCAAGCTCAAGCTCAAGCTCAAGCTCAAGCTCAATGCCGTTGTGGTTTTGACGAAGGGCTGAGGAGGCACTTTGATGGAAGCAAAAATTCTGGCTGTTGTAGTGATTTAGTCTCTCTCTCTCTCCCTCAAGAAGTGTGCTGACCGAACTTACTTTCTAGCTTCCTTATACATATTACTATATAAGATTTCGTGTACACTTCTCTCAGAGGTCATGTATGACAAGAAATGACAAAATCAAAATTTTTGTGTGCGCTATTATTGGGCTGATTTTAATGAACCAAGCTCAGCTTGATCAAACTTGGCTCATTTAATTATTGAGCTATAGTTAGCAGGTTTGGGTTTGGCTTGTCTATGCTAACGAAAAGCTGAACAAGTAAAGCCTAAACTGTCTGTGAATGGCATGGTTCATGCAGCAATGCTACACAACAAATGAATTTATAATTTTGATAAAGACTGCAAATATCAGAAGTAATTAGATTATAAATTACATTTGTTGCTCTAGGATGTTGTCTGATTTTCTACCTTCTTATCCTTTTGTTTCTCCTTTGCATATATTTCTCATATTAAGATTTTAATTAGGCTAAGCTTACAATGGGCTCAAGTTAGGTCATGGATATTTTTAATAACGATATTTTGTACTAGTTTGCTTATTGTTTTGTTTTGTTTTGTTTTCGTAATGAAAACATCCTCCTTACTATTACACATGATCTTTTTTTTGATAGGCACAAGGGTGAAGGGGGTTTTAGGTTCTTCAAAAAATTGTGAAATCCCACTTTTTGCTTTAAAAATTTTTAACCCCATGAAATGCCTCCCCAAAGTCACTCAACCCCTCAAAATTTTCAAATGCCCACTTTGTACAAGGGTTGCCTATCAAAAATTAATGTTCTCCAAAAATTCTATCCAATCTCATGTTAAAAGTTGTTAGACATAATCCCACATCGCCAATCTAAGCCACCCAAGCTTGGTTAATATAATGTAAAGGCCTCTCCACTCATTGCCAATTGGTTTTCAGTTGGATGCTTTAACAAAAGTTAAACTACATATTAAAAAACCTTGCAATAAATAAGGGATATAATTTATTTGATTTGCATGAAATCATATTAAACTATTTTTTGCTAAAAGCAATGAAATTTTGCTAGAAAAAATTGATTGGTCTCTTAGGGTTCCATTTGTAATTTTTTAATTGTACCATTTGTGAAGCTTTATGGGCTCAATGCGAAATGAGTCAAATTAATGGGTTACTAGAAAACACTAATACCTTAGCGAATTATGTATTAATATACATGTTTCGAAACATGATACACTTCTGTATATGTGTTGTACAAGGAATGTAATTTTCTTGCATTTTCCACCATTCTCATACTAAACAAACGCGGGAAAAGTATAATTTTCCCCTTCTTTCCGTCAATTTTCACCAGTGTCATCCTAACCAAACTTAGCCAAAGAAAAAATGCCATCATGTATCTCTATGGGTATACATTATGGTGGGGTTTTATCATTGACTTCCAAGGTTTGGCCACGTTATGTTGAGGTTGCCAAATTATTTATGAGATGTGAGTCAGGTAGTTCAGGATTATGGTGTTGATTAGTTTCAAGTAAGAGAATGTGTAATATACCATTTATGTTTGAGTAATTTCAATGGCCTATATCGAGTTATCCTGCAATTTAGTTTACTCAGCATTAGTCCCCTGATATTTTGGCTAAATAAATTTTTACATTGATTAAGTCCTCGTTTGTCAACTATACATTCTAGTTAAAAAGCTAAAAAATCACTATAAGTTGTCACATTACTCTCTTTACTTTTCTGCACATCTTTTCGTAAAAAATAAAAAAGTTATTAAAATAACTTGTTCCCAAACGAGGCCTAACAGAAGTATGGTATTAATGATACAATTGCTTTTTAATTACTCAGCAAGTAATTGTACAATTTTGATTGTTTAATGTCTATATGATTTTATTAGGTTTCACTACAATTTAGGAAATAATGTTTATGCTTTATAGCTCATTAAGATTGTTCTGGTGCAGAGTGGCTTTAAAGATGATTCTGTGAGGATAATGAAAGCAATTGTCAGATGCAATCCAGACTGCCAGGTTAGTTGCACCCTTGTATTGTTATGCTGAAATAATTTTAAACATAAGCTTGTATTGCATGCCTGATTTTACCCCAGATTCTATGTAGGTTCTACATTTTGGTGAATATTAATTGACCAACAAGGTTTACTTTTATTTTTTTTTAATTTTTATTTGGTTATATATAGAGAGACAGCAGTTTATTTGGGAGGGGAGATATTTTTCATCTTAACCTCTGGGAAATGGGAGATGTCAATAATCCTATCCAATATCATGGATACATAATGTCACTGTGGTTTGTCTAATTGAAACCAAAATTTGATTATTGAAACTGTAATCTGAGCAAGCTGTTTCAAATGATTACCGTTACTTCACCTTCATTCTATGCCATGGTGGTTTGATGGGCGTGTAGTTGGTGGGTTGGTGATGATGAAACACTTTTGAATGGTGGTGGGATTGGTTGGAGTGTATAGTGATGGTTGAGAGAGAGAGAGAGAGGGAGAGAGAGAGAGAGAGAGAGAGGTGGCTACGTACGAGTTGTGCATTGATTGTTATATTTATGTTTTTGTCTTTAGACAGTAAATTCTTTGGCATGACTATTTTTATCAACAGGAAAGAATGGACATCTAGAGAAGTTTGTGCATAACATTTTATCCAAAAAAAAAAAAAGTTCGTGACATAAAATCATCAAAACCTGGCTATTCAATTATGACTATTATTGTTGAGAGAATTGATTACCAACAACTAGGTTACAACTTTTCAATTGAAGAAGAAATCTATTACCCACAACCATGGTTATCAAAATCATGGTCCAGATTGTGTAATCCTATGATCTTAAATTGTCAGAATGATCCATTTGATCATAAAGGCCATCTTTAAAATTAGCAACCTCATTATAATATTTTTGTGGCTCACCATTAGTGCATTCAATAGTATTCTGTGAAAGCTTATTGATTGAATCCTAACATGGATAAAGGTCCGAAGGAAGCGAAAATGATGCAATCTACAAGAAGGGCAAGAAAAAGCAAAGTTAAAGAAGTGCAATATTTGGAAATTGCTATAGTTTCAAGCTACTAGTGTTATTAAAAGTCTGATTTTATGATTTTTTAAGAGTTTTTAGGTCAGGGGTATTTTGGTAATTTTTACATTTGTTGTCATAGGCTGTAGGGTTCCCCATGGGTCGTCTTGCGAATCAAGTTATCTAATTAGTTTTTGTTTTTAATTATGTTTTTTTATTTGGTCTTAAGATAGGCTTTGGAATTCAAAAGTATAGTAAGTTTTTTTTTTTTTTTTTTTTGAAGTCCTAGTTGATTAAGGAAGTCTCTAAAGTCTATATAAAGTCATATAATACTTTCAGTTCAATAGAGTTAATATTTTAGAGAATTTCAAGATTTTTGAAGCTTTTCTATGGATTGCGTGATGTAATCAAACCGTCGGTGTGAAACCTAAGGGATTTTAGAAGTGATTCCTAGAACTTGGCTATGACCTATGTTGACAAGTGTCTCAACTATTGACTTTGCCATGACCTATGTTGATAGCAAGTGTGGGTTGTTACTTCTCTCTTCATATGTTATCAGAGTCAAAGTACTTAGGAATGGGTAGGGTGCGTGTCCCTGGCTTGCACGCCATATGTGCTATCGAGTGAGCACGCTGGACATGAGGGAGGATGTGAAGCGAAGTCTCACATCGCCCAAGTATTAAAATAATATTAAGCATATATGTGTGACGGCACCCTCACCTCTTGAGCCATCTTTTAGGGTGAGTTCTATCCAAAACCGTGTAACAGTTGTGGGACTGTATCAAGATTGGGAAGAACTTAGGGGTGTTTGGGAAATGACTTTTTAGTGATTTTTTGGCTTTTTACGAAAATATGTGCAGAAAAGTAGAGAATGATTTGACAACTTATAGTGACTATTTGATTAAAAATTAAGGTTCTGAAGCAAGGCCTTATTAGAAGTTTACCGTGCCAACACTTGGCTATTATATGGAAAACCAACCATAAAACCTAAAACGATGCTGCATACAACAAAGGATTGTGCAACTGTGACACCTCTAAAAATTGTTTAGTGAACTAGCTACTAAGCAAAAGTGGTCAAGATATTGTGGGGCAGTAACGCCAATTAGCAAGTAGCTCCCAACCTGCAAAGATGTTGAAAAAATTTCGTTGTAACTTTATCGCACTAAAATCGTGGGAGCAAGAGAACTAGATGTGCCAGTGTAAAAGAGTGGCATGTGCTGGAGTGCTATTGGTATGTAGGGTTTTTCCTACCTGGTGGATGGGGGGAGGAGATGCATAGAAGCTTGCTAAGGTGTTATCTTGGAATAACCTCTTTCTGAACTCTTTGCTCACCAAAGAGTACTTTGCTGAGTTCCTTGCTAGGTGGATTTGGGGAGGAAACACGAGGAAACACTTAGAAACTTGCTAATGTGTTGCCCTTGGAAAAACCTCTTTCCAAGTTCTTTGCTCACCACAAAGCAAGTACCCAATTCTGTATATGGAACCTGAATGCAAGTTGCATGATAGTTTGATTCCCCACAAATAAGAAGTCTCCAAGCTTGACCCTTCCCACACATGGGTGACTGGCTGGGGAAAGAACTTGAAAGTCATAATTGTAGTCTCGATTTCGACACAACCTATTTTGAGATTGGGACGAAGGATGAAAGATTTGAGTTCCATATAGGCTTCAAGCAAGATGTATCGGGGTACAAAAAAAAAATCCTTTTCTTTAGTTGTTTGCTCTAACCAGCTGAGTTACTTGAACCACTTTCCTAAAGTTTGAAGTTCATATTGTCTTCCTTCTGAAAGTAAAGCGAAGAGCAAAGTCAACTAAGTATGATTTTTTGGATATATAGTATTCCTGCTACTAAAATTATATTGCAAGCTTTTGTCATGTTTGCATTGGTTATATGTGATAATGTAATTAAATACAGTGCTTGAGAATTGGTGAATTTGTAATATAACTCAATTGCATTCACAAGCTTCCAAATTTCATTTCCTTGCCTGGTGGATTTGGGGAGGAAACACTTAGAAACTTATTAAGGTGTTGTCCTTGTTAAAACCTCTTACCGTGCTCTTTTGCTCGCCTACCTCGCTGAGTTGCTTGCTCTGTGGATTTGAAAGGAAACACTTTGAAGTTTAAAAGGTGTTGTCCCTGTAAAAATCTCTTTCCAAGCTTGTTTGCTCGCCAAAGAGTGCTTTGTCGAGTTCCGTGCTTGGTGGATTTGGAAAGGAAACATTTAGAAATTTTCTGAAGTGTTGTCGTTGGAAAAGCCTTTTTTTGAGCTATTTTTCTCGCCAAAGAGTTCCTCACCTAATTCCTTGCTAGGCAGATATGGGGGGAAAATGTTGAAAACCTTTCTAAGGTGTTGTCCTTTGAAAAATTTATAGCAGCACTCTTAGCTCGTTAGAGTATCTTGCCAAGTTCCTTTTGATGGATGTTTGGAGAAATAAGACCTGACAAGGCTAGGCATCCTCACAAAAGTCCTAGCTCAGCTAGGCATTCTTTGGAGTAAGCCCTAGCAAGGCTAGGCATCTCCTAGTTTGACGAGGCAATCTATGGAGAAATAAGACCTGGCAAGGTTAGGCATCCTCCGCTATCTCAGCTAGGCACTCTTTGGATTAAGATCTAGCAAGGCTAGGCATCCTCTTTTAGCTTGGCTAGGCACTCTTTGGTGTGAGACCTAGCAAGGTTAGGCATCCTTGTAAAAGTCCTAGCCCAGTTAGGCACTATATAGAGGAATAAGACCTAGTAAGGCTAGGCATGCTTGCAAAAGTCCAAGCTTGGCTAGGCACTACGCATCCTCAGAAAGGTCTTAGCTTGGTCAGGCGCTTTTGGAGTAAGACCTAGCAGGTATCCTCAGAAAGGTCCTTGCCCGGCTAGGCTTTCTTTGGAATAAGTCCTAGCTTGGATAGACATTTTGGAATAAGGCCTAGCACTCACTAGGCATTCTTTGCGACCTAACACTTGCTAGGCAAGCCATATGGACAACCTAGCACTCGCTAGGCACATTGATCGATGGATGCTTGGAATATGAGCTTGGGTAGGAGCTTGGACCTAGCAATTGAGCCTGGCAATCGAATGTAGCAGATGAACCTAGCACGCACTAGCCATGCCATGCAGAAATCCTAGCTCAGCTACGCATGATATTGGGCACGAAAACGTCATAGGAAAGCAACCCACCAAGATTATCTCAATCAAGATGATTGGGGGGGCATGTGGTCTAGCATCTATAACCAAGCAATAGTACACGAGTGTTATTGGAATTGAGCAAAACTTTCCCTTGTCTCTCTGTTCTTAGATTAATGTAATTGTTTCGATGTAGCAACAAGCACGCACACCAAGGCTATTTACAAATGCACAACTTGGTATTTAATTGTGAATTCAACTGTTAAATTAATTCAAACAAAGGTCGATAGTTTTCATTGAGGTTCAATAGCAAAAATGTGGATTATCATAAAGACTCTGCCTACATGGATTATATAAGTACACGAAAAATAAGAAATTGTGTTAAAATTTAGAAATTAGATCATACGATTAGGGGAATTTGGGTTAATATGTAATTTATTTGGTTAATATAGGATTAAGTTAAAAATAATGTGTAAAAAGAGAAGATATCTAAGGGGTATTAAAGTCATTTTTTGACTACTATTAATGCATTGCATTTTAGTGCAAAATCACGTGGGGATTAAGTGACTGTTTTTATCAAACGGGAGTAAGTGCTATTAGTCCATACCACATGGGGGTAAAGTGGATTTTTCTCAGTATTTGCCTTCAAGATGCATATTGTACTGAAATTTAATTAGAAGTGATAGTCAAAGTTTGCTGTTTTATAATTTATTCAAGGTGTGGGTTTGAAGTGTTGTTTAGGTTGTCTCACCAATTTGCAAGAGGAAAAATATGCTTTTCTTACATATTTATAAAAAAAAAAATGCTTTTCAAGAGTCTTGGGTTTGTTGGGATTCTTCCTCTATGCTTTCTTGGGACGGATTTGTCACAAACATGCATTTATTAACCTTCTTTGGATACTTCATGATCTTTTGGGTATGTGGAATACGTCCTACCATTGGAGAATACAGTTTTGGGTTCATTCTCATAATCTTTTCTGGTCTTGTACTTGTTTACACTTGAATTTCATCTTGCTTTTGGTGCAAAATTTTATGAAGTGATGCTATTGTGTATGTTTGTGTTTATATATGAATGAGTTAGCTGATTATTCTAAGATAGCGCCATCAGCCTTTGAGCCAAAAAAGTGGAATAACACAATGGTTGTGATATATATATATATTTTGTGAATATATTTGAAGATATTCACTGATTTCACTGTAAAGTTTATTCTCATGTGATACTTGGATATTTTTTTTTAAATGATTGCTGGTTTAGGGATTTGACTAAGAAATTTTTTTGCATTTGCAAAATGGAGCCACATGGCTGATGTCATTTTCATTTCTACCAAAAAATCAGGTGCTTCTATTTTCTGCCACATTTGATGATGCTGTCAGGGCTTTCGTATCAAAGATTGTTAAAGATCTCTTCAAAGGAGATTACAACCAAATGTTTGTGAACAAAGAAGATCTGTCCTTGGAATCTGTAAAGCAGTACAAGGTGAAATGTCCCGATGAACTTTCGAAGATAATGGTGATTAAAGACAAAATTTTTGAATTAGGACAAAAGGTGGGCCAGACAATCATATTTGTTCGCACGAGAAATAGTGCGAGCACATTGCACAAAACAATTGCCCATGACGGCTATGAGGTGACAACCATTCAAGGTGCTCTGAGGCAAGAAGACAGGGACAAGATTGTGAAAGAGTTTAAAGATGGACTAACTCAAGTGCTTATATCTACTGATCTTCTTGCCCGGGGTTTCGATCAATCACAGGTGTGCACCTCTTAGCTTAATCTGTTGTTGATTTACCCATTTAGTGGTCAAAATGCTTACATCCTAACATTGTTCATTTTAATAGGTTAATTTGGTCGTCAATTTTGATCTTCCAGTGAAGCATGAATTCCCATCAGAGCCTGACTGTGAGGTGTACTTGCATCGGGTTGGGAGGGCAGGACGTTTCGGCCGCAAGGGTAAATTTGTTGATTTCAGTACCCTACCTTTGCAATTCCATTTGTATTTCATTCATGAACTGTTCATTACTAGAAATAAAATTGGTTCTTGGTCAAATTCTTTTTTGCTTAAAAACAATCTTATATAGTTTGTGGTTAACCATATTATAGATTTGGTTGAACTCCAAATATTCAAGTATGAAAACTCTTTAGTAATAGCTGTGAAAGTTGGGATTTTAGTTGAAGGGGTTTTGAATGAGTTGTTAGATACTAATATCTATGAAGTATGTCATAAGGACTGCAAAGCATCTAAAAAAATGTCATAAGGACTGCAGTGAACTAGCAGCAATTATCAGAACTAAAACCTTCTTTCTTTCTTTCTGTCTTTTTCCTTTTCTGGATCTTTTTTGTTTTTTTGTTTTGGGGGATCAAATTCCTTTTCTGGATCTTGGTAGCAGGAAACTCCTACTTGGGTCACGTTTCTTACTTAGAAACTCGTTTCTGCACTCCCAAGTGAGAAACTTGCAAGAAACTGATCTGTATCAATTCATCGAGATGGAAACTCTCTCCCCGATTGGGATAGAAACTCTTAAATAAACAAATCTCAAAGAAACAAAAGAAAAACAACTTAAACTTATTATATTACTTTCTATTTGCATAATATTTATTTATACATGACAAAGACAATTTGCAATTGACATGAATCTCAAATATTTTATGCATATTTTAACACATACTACAACTAAGCAAAAATAAATAATTACTAATATATTTATATATATTTAACATATATACACACACACACTCATAGGCGCTCCCAACCCTAGAAATTTCTATATGCCCTCCCTCTCCCTCCCCCTCCCTCACTCCCGTCCCCGCCTGTGCTCCGTGCAACTAAGTTCTGGATTGTTGTTTTATTAGGTGTTTTAAGTTGTGACTATGAGTGGGATGTGTCAAATGAATGATGGACATTTACATCTTACCGTGTCATTCAGTTTTTGATTAACCAAGGTTTTCTCTTAGTAGTCTATAGTCTTGGGTCGAAGATGTGCAGGTCTTATGTCATTTATATGATTGCTTTGCTGACATTATTAAGGCCTTGTTTGGGTACTTTAAAAAAAGACAAAAAGTCAAAAAGTCACTATCTTATTTAAATCACATCATCTTATTTAAGTCACATCACCTCTCTACCATATCACTTCAAACTCAACCCATATCCAACCCATATTTCACAAAAAGTCAAAAAGTGTACTTATTTAGATCATCCCAAACCACCCCTAAATATCAACTTGGATTGTGCTTCAAATCATAAAGAATAAATGAATATATTTGACTGTGGATAACCCAGAACTTGGACAATATATGTGCCCACATGCATTCCCTTTTCTATTGGTGTGTTTTTAAAGAACATCAAAGCTATATTTATTTCTGTATTTCTTGTTCTGTTGGATAAATTTGGAGACTCAAGTAGCTTTCCTCTCCACCTTTCAGCTAATTGTAAATGATTTTACTGGATCCTACAGGTGCTGTGTTCAATTTGTTGTGCAATGATAGAGATGATATGATCATGTCCAAGATTGAGAGGCATTTCAACATGGAAGTAGCTGAGGTAAAATATTCTGCTTGTGCCTTGCTGACTGAGTCACGTAATTATAGGAGATTTTTAGTGTTTCAAAAGTAGCAACAGTGTAAATGTCACTTTCTCAAGGCATACACCTGGTCAATGTTTAATTGCATTCTTTTCTTTTTTTTTTTTTTTTTGAGTGCAGGTGCCATCCTGGAGAAGTAATGAGGATTTTGAGGCTGCCCTTAAAAAAGCTGGTTTGATTTAAATATTTGCCCATGATCGTCTGGGATTTTTATATTTCCCCAGATGCGAGCTTCTAAGTGAAGCACAGGATATCTAGTGTTGACACTTGAAAATGGGCAGCAGCGGAGTCTGGTGTTTTTAAGTCATCAGAGTAGTCTTATACAGATGAATGATCTGTTTTCATGCATCTTAGCGTGTCAATGGGCTTGTGCATGCCTTGTTAATCAAGGCTTCGATTTTTGATTTTATTTCTGTGATTATGAGGATAATTCTTTCTTACTCTGTTTTGGAATTTTAAGGTGGTTTTTTAAATTTTGATATGGAGTTGTTGGATTTGGTATCAAATTGGCAAGAATGTTGGATATCCTGATTTGGATTTATGGATACGAGTTAGTTTTATGATATGAGCTCTCTTTCTGTGTGTCTCTCTCTGTGCATGTGAACAATTTGAGTTTAAAACCATTTGATGTGTGTTGAGGTTGTTATGATTATCTGATTTGCAGTGCAAAATGCAATTTATGTTCTTGCATTTCCATAGTAGACAATTCAAGTGAAATAACTACCTACCTTGGGTAAAAATCTATGTATTCTACTGCCACGGTAAGTACGATTTAAAATTTGTTCATCTTTAAAATTAAATATAATAAAATTATGATTATTGAATTAATTTAATTTTTGAATAAATAATCTATACATAATTACTTGTATAAGATTCAGAGTAGTGCTTGTGATAAGCTGATGTGTTGCAGCAGTTTTCTAGTCTATGCACTTTTGCCACACAAAGCAAGTTGATAGAGTATAAACATGGTATAAAATAACGATTTTTCTAATGTGTCTGTAAATATATTTACTTTGTGATATAATATTGTCATATTCTCAAGGTCATTATATATAGTTTTATTAATGTTTTAAATCTAAAGTTTTGAGTTTGTGAACTCCCAAGGGATGGTTATATACATTAGAGATTGGGTTCTGTTCCAGCACAGTCGGAGTTTTGGCCGTTGATGCTGCTAGTTCCGGATTGATTGAACCGAACAAAATTTATCAGTCCAATGTGTTGAATTGGGTTAGCCTAACTCTGGTCTGGTCTTTTCTGTATCTATTTAGTAGATTATTTAAATCAATTTAGTAGATTTTGTTGTGAGTAGCAGTTAGGAGTGTTGCCTTTTAGGCGTGTACTGAGTTTCATTGTAAAATCTATTTTTTTTGGAATATAGTTCTATGACTTACCCATCCAAAAAAAAATGTTTTATAAATTTTTTTTTTGTTGTCTTTTCGTTTTCCATTTTTTTTCCTCACAAGGAAAGAGTACACAGGCACACAAACATGTAAATGGGGAAAATAATTTGTCAACAGCAAATTTATACAAAATACACATTCAGAAATGATGTGTTAAATTGTTAATAAGATTTTTAAAATTATGAAATGTTGGTGTTTTGATTAGAAAGAAGGGGACACGAGAAGTCATGATTCTCTACAAATTATTCGTAAAATAATCATGTCAATAATTTGTGAGAGAAAGGGAGGGCTAGTTGTTGCGAAAGTAGTTAGTTTTTGTTTGGCATAAGTTAAAATGGAGTTTTTTTTTTTGATTAAAATAGTCACAAAAAGACAAAATAAACTTTTTAGTCAAATAAGACAAAATGTCACATTCAAACTATAATCATTTCATTTTTTTCTCTCACAAAAGTTAAAAAAGCCAAAAAGCTTATTCCAAACGAGAATTTTTAACCTTAGACTAAAATAGCCAAAAAACCAATCTATATCCCAAATGGAGAATCCTTAATATCATGGGTGAGCATATGTCATGCATTTTGGCCATTAAAAAACTTGGTATTAATGTAAGCTTGGTTACAGATCTTTAAAAATAAATATATTTAAAAAAAAAAAAAAGTCTAAATGGTTTGCACGTCACAAGTAGTGGCCTTCCACACAAAATAATGTTTGTTTTTAATGAAGAATAGTATTTATACATAAATGCATCCAGTATTCTTCGTCATCGTCACCAAAGATTTTGAGAGAGAGAGAGAGAGAGAGATGGCACAAGCCTTTCTGATGATGATGATGATAGCAACTTCAAGTATCAATTTTGCAGAAGCATTCAAGGAGGAAGGTGGCATGGGAGGGGTTATCCATGTTGGAGGGAAAGTGCTTTGCCAGGATTGCTCCCAAGGCTGGAATGAATGGGTCCATGGTGCCAAGCCTATCAAGGGTACTCTCTCTCTCATTTGTTTTGATAATGAATATTTGTGTAATTGGGGGTGATGCAGGTTGCAAAGTATCCATCACATGCATGGATGAGAGAAAAAGAGTGATATACTATGGAAGTGATCAGACCGATGAAGCCGGTGACTATGAGATGACCCTAAACAAGTACATCAATGGTGGCAAAGAATTGGACCCAAACAAATGCTCAGTGAGGCTGGTCTCATCGCCAGACCCTGTCTGCAATATTGCCACGGACTTTGCCAGTGGGAGGTCGGGGGTGAAGCTGAGGAGGCCCACTGTGGTGTACAGGGACTTTATCAAACATGTGCTCAGCCCATTCTATTACACTACTCCCATGTGTGATGAACCTGATGCTGCTACTACTACTACTCACTCCTCTTCCTCCTCATATGCCAAACAAACCAAATATTAAATTTTTTTTTATGGATTTTTTGGTTTATTGTTATGTTATTTGTGGTATTGTTACTTGATGAAATGGATTTATTTGTTGGGATTTCTAGTTGTGTCGTTGAATTGTAATTGTTTAATTTGATATAATTTTTCTTATATTTGCTATTATTTCTCCTACTACTCTCCTCTAATTGTTTAATTATGTGGCATGCTTCTAGGATTCCTTTTTTAATTTTTTATTTTGAGGTAAAAACCTCTCATTTTAAGAGATGAATGAATAATAAAACCTTGGTCTTTCTGTCCACAATAATAACATTGATTTACACTCATAAAGACTAAGATTTGAAAATCAGACTCCCAGGTTGGAAGGCTAGAAACTTATCCTTAGCTGGGAGTCACTATCATACAAAGTGTTATCTCTGTCATCCCTAGCTATAACATGCAAATCATGGAGATTCCTAGAAAATTTTGTGATGAGATTGACCAAAATCAACAGGAACTTTCTTTGGGGTGAGATTGATAATAGCAAGAAAGTTCACTTCAAACAGTGTATGTAGGGCTAAAGAGAAAGGAGGACTTGGCATTAGAAGAGCTAGAGACCACAATGCTGCACTCCTAATAAGCTTGGTTGGAAAATGTTAACTGAAAATGATGAACTCTGGTGCAAAGTGCTCCAGGTCAAATATCTGAAGACGAACAACTTATATAACTGGAGAGCTTCCCACATTTGGAAAAGCACATGTAAGAACAAGGACACTCTTAGAAAGGGGATTAAATGGAGGGTGGGAAATGGGACTGCCATTTCTTTATGGCATGACTGGTGGTGTGGACAAAACCCCCTTGACCAAAAAATATAATACTTCATAGGTTAATGATAAAGATAAGGTGAGTTTTACTCCTGAATGATTAAGGGAATCGGAACACTGAAGTCATAGCTAAGATTGTCAATTAGTAAAATCTCCAAGACATCCTCAAGGTGCATACACCCAGATTTGTGACTTACACTGATACCCCTACCTGGCTTGGATCTGGAGGTAATTTCTCTGCAGCATCTGCTTATAAGATCATTGCAAACCATGAGATGGATGGGAGTGACTGGAAATGGGTTTGGAAGATTAGAACTCCCCGAAAGCTGAAGTACTTTCTTTGGCTTATCCTCAAGGATAGACTGCTAAACTAACCAAATGAGGCTTAGGAGGAGGAACATGGCAACTACTGATCTATGTCCAAGGTGTGGGGATTCCAGTGAAGATGTGAACCATCTCCTTAGAGAATGTACCAAATCCAGAGATATCTTGATTGAAATCAAGAATGTCACATGGTGTGAGGATGGTTGTAGGTTGCCTCTAGCTGAATGGGTGTCATCTAACATGAAAACAAAAAACTTGTTTCTTGGAAGAAATGGTATCTTGACTTCATTGTTATCCTTTGGTAGATATGGAAAAATAGAAATCAAATGGTTTTTGAAAAATTTAATCACCCCATTCAAGCTAGTCTCAAGAACATTGGAGATTATGTTCACGAGATTGATGAGGCATTCCAATCTCCCCTCCACCCTAATCAATCTTTACTTGTACTTATTAAATGGTGTTTTCCTACTGTCGGTAAGCTGAAATTAAATACTGGTGGCTGCTCAAAAAGAGATCCTGGACAGGCAGAATATGGAGGGCTCTTGAGAGACGAAGCAGGCACATGGATATGGGGATTTTATGGCAAGATGGGACATTGTTCAAGTGTGGAAGCAGAGCTTTGGGCCATTTACAGGGGCTGCACAATCTTATTCTAGAAAGGCAGAATGGATGTGAAAATTGAAACTGATGCTGCACAAGGCATCAAGCCCATTCAGGAGGGGCCAAGTCATAACTCTCCATACAAGGCCATCGTAGAGGATGCAAAGTTTTTAATGAAAAGATGTATTGCACACTAGGACACACCCTAAGGGAAGGAAACAAAGTTGCTGACAAATTGACAAACATGGGTGTGGCCCAAGATGAACATGTGGTGTTACTGGATGACCCTCCAGAGATAGGTGATATGACTGGGATTAGTTTTGAAAGGGATTAACCCTCTAGGTTGATGTAATGTTACTTCTTTTATGGTTTGAGTTGGATCAAAAAATAAAATAAAATAAAGGGTTTGGTTTGAGAATTGACTTTTTTAATGATTTTTTTTTGACTAAAATTCTTTTTTCCCAAAGGAAGTCTAAATTGACACAAGTAACATATCAATAATAATAGAAACACTAACTAATATACTAATAATTATACTAACTAAACACAATCTTAATGATGTGTTTAGTTGGAGAATTTGGAAAGGAATTTAGAAAGGAAAAAATAAAATAAAATAAAATAAAATAAAAAATATAAGTGAAATGTGAATAAAATATACCTGCGTTTTATATAATTTCACACATTTTTTCTCTTTCTTTTTTTAAACCCCTTTTCAAATCTCCCAACCAAACACAGTATAAGTGAATCCAATCAAATAGTAAAACCTACATATATATTTGGTTTCTAAGTATATTTGTTTGTATATTAATTAGTGTTTCTAATATTATTGGTAAACTATAGGAATGCTAGTGTAATTGACCCCTGCAAACTTTACCTGATTTAGCATTTATAGTTTAGAGAATAATGGGCAAAAGGCACAAAATTTTTACGGCAATTTTTAAGTATGTAAGAGCATCCGCATCAGCCTCAACAAATTTTGAGTCAAATTATAACCCAAAATTCACTTTTGTATTTTAGTTAGTCTCTTTTTTATATACACACTCCATCAAGCTCTATTTTAAAATTCTATTTCATTAAAATATTATTTTTTATTCTTTTATCATTTTCAATTTAAATATATTTTATTTCCAACCGTCATATTTTAAAAACGGCTATATTCTAACGGTTATATTTCATCGGCTATATTTTAACGGTCATATTCCAACGGCTATATTCTAACGGTCATATTCCAACGGTCATATTCTTTCAATATAAATAAAACCAATTGCTATCTAAATTTCATCCAGATCAGCCTAATTTTGCTATTTCATTTTGTATTTATTTTCTCTATATGGATCTTCATTCGCTAGACGATATGATTCTTTATGACTCTGACTCCGATGATGAGTTGGAGACAATCGGGATAGCTATTATGGAAGGGCAACGACTAGAAGCCAATACTTCATCAAGATCACAGCATAATTCTAGTCAACGTCGCAAATTCATTTGGCGCAATTCTTTGCAAGGTCACCAAAGACTCTTTCTAGATTATTTTGCTAATCCACCAGTATATCCTTCCAATGTATTTCGGAGGAGGTTTCGAATGGAACGTTCTCTTTTTCTCCGCATTCAATTTGGGGTAGAAGCTCATGAATCATATTTTGTCCAGAAAAGAAATAGTACCGGAGTGCTCGGTTTATCTTCCCTTCAGAAGATGACTGCAGCACTTAGAATGCTCGCTCATGGAGTAGCAGCTGATTTTATGGATGAATACTTGAGGATTGAAGAAAGTACCGCAATGAAGAGTATTTTATTTTGTCAAAGCGGTAGTTGAAATTTATTCCGATCAGTATTTGAGGTCACCAAACAACAATGACATTGTTAGACTACTAGCAGTTGGCAAAAGTCGTGGCTTTCCTGAAATGCTAGGAAGCATTGATTGTATGCATTGGACATGGAAGAATTGCCCGGCTGCATGGAAAGGTATGTATACTGGTCACACCCATGAACCAACAATTATTTTGGAAGCAGCTGCATCATATGATCTTTGGATATGGCATGCATTTTTTGGGTTACCTGGGTCCCATAATGATATCAATGTACTAGAAAGATCTACTGTATTTACTGAGCTTGCTCAAGGGCGTGCTCCTTCAGTCAATTACACCATCAACGGTAATGAGTATACACTGGAATATTATCTTGCTGATTGTATATCCACCATGGGCAACATTTGTGAAAACAATTCCATGTCCACAAGGAAATAAGAAAAAACATTTCGCTATGGCCCAAGAGGCATGTAGGAAGGATGTGGAGCGTGCATTTGGGGTGCTTCAAGCACTTTTTGCAATTGTGCGTGGACCTGCACAATCTTGGAATCTTGAGTCAATTAAAGTTGTTATGAAGGCTTGTATAATATTGCACAATATGATTATTGAGGATGAGCGAAATGATAATAAAGCACAAGACATTGATTTTGAACAAATCGATGATACCCCTTTGGCACAAGTGTCAAATGAGCGTACAATCAAGCTTATGGAATTCATTCAACAAAATCACCGTATCAAAAAACAGAGCAATTCATTCTCAACTCCAATCAGATTTTGTTGAGCACTTGTGGCAACTATATAGCCAGTCATAGGAATAAGGTTTCATGTTTTAATTATTTTGTGGAAAATAAATGTATTATGTTTTTAATTATTTGTTTTAGTAATGAAAAATGGATTATAATTGAATTGGAAAAGTTTAATTAAATCATTATAATCCTTAAATGCTCCTTTTGTTTAACCATATTTTTGGAGTGCAAAATGATGTTAAAATAGGTATAAAATAAGACCCAAGACAACACTAGAGCAACAACAAAACAGTAGCAACATAGGAGCCAGGGTGGTTGACCGGCCGGTCGACTGGTTAAGCAAAATTTTAGCATTTTTCTTCTTCTCATGGGACATCCTGGGGGACATTCAAGATGGTGAGAACCTGATGAACTTCCAAGATGGTAAGAATGAAATTTGTGTGATGGCTCTAGTAAGTGTTCACAGTAATGGTGGTATGAGAGATAGTGTTTTTGTTGGCAGGAGAAAGAAGTGCGGGAAAAAAAATATAATAAAAAATTGATTACCCTGTGAACAGTTCCTCACTTCATCAGAGGAGAAACTGTAGCTTTGTCAAAATGAATGAAGCTCATAGCGACTCTGATGCATCAACATATTTACAGTTTGGCTTTCTACAATAGCGTCAAAGTCGTTGTAGCGACTCTGATGCTGATGCTCTAAATACATAACATATGTACTTATATAAATTCTCATAAACATACGTAAGTTGTGATTTTTCAAATTTTTATGGATTAATTTACATATATTTGTGAAAATTTACGCAATAATTTTTATGGATTAACTTACGTATGTTTGTGAAAATTTACGTGATTTTATGAGATAGTTTATATATATTTGTGAGAACTTACACTAGTATATACAGTATGCACCTTGGGCACCCAAATACTTCTCAATTTTTTATTCCAAATGTACTTTCAATTGTACAATTATATGTCAAAATTCTAATTGCAGTGCAATAGAAAATAAAGGTGAACATAGTCCGAATTGGTTAACTTTGGAGTAAAACAAGTATCAATTCGTTGTCTCCTATTTTGTAAAAATTAGAATCAAACCAATCAAATTCATATAAATCGTGAAACTAATCTGAGCCAAACCATTTAAACACGGTTTGGTTTGGTTTGCAACAATAGATTCACATCATCTATTAACAAAGAAAAACCATGTAACATTTCATAATTTTTCAAAATATAAACATGTATATTGTTCCACTATTAATTTAAACAAACATAATATTTTGTACTACAATAGCAGCAGCAATCACCAAATTCAAAAATAAATAAATAAATAAATTTAAAATTGATTCTACCATCAGACCATTACAAAACTAACACCAAAAAAAAAACAAAAAACAAAAAAAAACACAACAATAGTCTGTGGTGTTTATAGTCTAAGTTGCATATGATCTGTATCAATTCCAATCCAAAACCATGAAGTATAATCCAAAACCGATCCACGAACCACGGTTCCTCAAATTTTCAATCCAAAATTGAACCATGAATTTAAAAAACCAATTCAAATCTACCGAATTAGCCTGGACCAGATCGATTGCAGTTTTTACAAATTCCTTACTCAGCTCTAACAGAAAATACATTTGAACAAAAGATTTAAAAACAAAAAAGTCTATGGATCATGATAACCAAATCCGGAATGCTAAATCTATGGTGTAAAATCAAAATTGTATGTGCGGAACCATATCATCAATGAATTTGGACCTTTGATTTCAAATTCTGGGCAATTTCTGGTTCATGTCGGGATTCATAGAACTGCTCCTTAAAAATAGAAGATCTGCAAGGTTTACACTCAGTTTCTTTAGGTGTTGCCTCTCTGCCCTTGTGTGCACGCGCAACCGTGCGCACAAGTGAAGAATTGAGACACAGGGTTTGAGAGAGAACTATAGCAAAGACATTCTTTCTCACTGGTTTGAACAGACATAGCCACAAAGAACATCAATTTAAACCTCAGAGACACAGGGTTTGAGAGAGAACTATAGCAAAGACATTCTTTCTCACTGGTTTGAACAGACATAGCCACAAAGAACATCAATTTAAACCTCAGAGACACAGGGTTTGAGAGAGAACTATAGCAAAGACATTCTTTCTCACTGGTTTGAACAGACATAGCCACAAAGAACATCAATTTAAACCTCAGAGACACAGGGTTTGAGAGAGAACTATAGCAAAGACATTCTTTCTCACTGGTTTGAACAGACATAGCCACAAAGAACATCAATTTAAACCTCAGAGACACAGGGTTTGAGAGAGAACTATAGCAAAGACATTCTTTCTCACTGGTTTGAACAGACATAGCCACAAAGAACATCAATTTAAACCTCAGAGACACAGGGTTTGAGAGAGAACTATAGCAAAGACATTCTTTCTCACTGGTTTGAACAGACATAGCCACAAAGAACATCAATTTAAACCTCAGAGACACAGGGTTTGAGAGAGAACTATAGCAAAGACATTCTTTCTCACTGGTTTGAACAGACATAGCCACAAAGAACATCAATTTAAACCTCAGAGACACAGGGTTTGAGAGAGAACTATAGCAAAGACATTCTTTCTCACTGGTTTGAACAGACATAGCCACAAAGAACATCAATTTAAACCTCAGAGACACAGGGTTTGAGAGAGAACTATAGCAAAGACATTCTTTCTCACTGGTTTGAACAGACATAGCCACAAAGAACATCAATTTAAACCTCAGAGACACAGGGTTTGAGAGAGAACTATAGCAAAGACATTCTTTCTCACTGGTTTGAACAGACATAGCCACAAAGAACATCAATTTAAACCTCAGAGACACAGGGTTTGAGAGAGAGGGAGAGAGGTACCGGAAGGGGTTCGAAGCAAAGACGATGACAGTGGCCGTGGTGGTGGTGATATCCAGAGAATACCTAATTAACAAATCAATTTAAGGTTTAGAAAAACAAAAATCAAAATGAAAATGAGTACTCTGTTATATGATGGAGGGGGAGGAAGAAATCAAACATGATAAAATGAAGTACATAGTCACCACATTTAATCAGAAAGCAAACTGCTTAGAATGGGGGTCTAAAGCAGAGGATTTCATCATAATGCCTCAAGGTTATCACAAAATACAACCCAGATCGTCTACTCTGGTGTTTATCACATAGAAAAAGGGGAAGAACGATCAGAATAATTGCAAAAATAATTCACAAGGTTATCACAAAATGACCTATATATCATGTAAAAGACACTAAACTCCCCACTGATAGACCTGTAATTTACACCAGCTAATGTATGTTGCATGCACAAGCATGCAATAATTTTTAAGTAAAATACAGCCCAGACTGTCTACTCTGGTGTAACAAGTGTTTGTCTGCAGAGATGCTTCACCACAACTTCAAGCTGGCTTCATATATGAAGTTTTTGTCTATGTTACATGACATATTGGCTACATCAAGAAATTCAAATGGAGGCTGTTTACCGTGAGCACATCCAATGCAACATAGGATCAACTCATATGGTACTAGAAATGATTTTTAAGCCCTTATGCAACCATTTAATACAGAACTCTGGATTATTATCAGCTATCAAGTCCATAGAAACCATGTAGGTGCACTACTAACTCTGAATAGCTCCACCATATTTATCTTAAATCATTTAGGTCAGTGAAAAAATGAATATTGGTCATATTTCAGATATTCATATAATTTGAAATATTAAAAAATAATTTTTTGCTGCAATCCACAAAACTCCTGCGTGGCACATGTGAAGATGAGAAAATTCATTCTTTTTTAAGGAAAATTTGGAGCAATAGAGTTAGCAAAAATAAATGGGCATCAAAATGTCTATTTCTCTAACCCCAGTAAAAAACAATGGTCACCACCACAGACATCAATTTCATATGGCACTGTCAAAATTTCACAGGTCATGTGTCTCACCAACTTAACGTACGACTCTACATCCTAGTTCCATCTCTAAAGCAGCCATTCACCACCCCAAACCACAAACAATTTTCTATTATGTATTTGCAATAGAGTATTCCATTCATTACTTAAAAAGTGATACAGATATCTCAGACCAGATAAAATATAATCTTCAATAGTCCCATGTGAGCATTGTTGTATGAATATGAAATGCATTATCATGGAACCAGATCAATAGGATCCAACAGCTTTTAAAATATTAATCAGACCTTCGTGTGCCTCATCAAATACCAATGTCATATAGTTTTCCTAAATCTAGAAAACATAACCGTTTTAATTCTAGTCAGATGAGGTCCATTCCTACAGAATTTTGTGCCTACATCTTGTTGCTGAGCTAGACAATTCTAGTTTTATAAATAAGGAACAACTGAAGATTATAGTAAACTCAAAGCAAAACAAGGTCAATGTAAAGCAAGCAAGGTTCAGAAAGTTACAAGTAGAAATGCAGGTGAAAGCATAAAAATCAAAATCAACTTACATTGTTTTGAATTTTAACCTGATCGAGTGAGAGAAAGAATTGGTTGTATGCATCTTTGTCGGATAAAAGCTTCCGTAACTCATCCATGCTGAATCAATTGTAATAAGAAAAGAAGAGAATGATCAGAAAATACAAAAATGCAAAGCAAAAAGTTCAACAACCTAGATTTCTAGATTGATTTTTGCAATATTAAACGAAATGAAAATTGATGCTAATGTGGTGCTGGCAACATATACATATACTGATATGGTGGTCAATGGCATAGGCAATGGTAATAGATCTAGTAAAGAATTCTTTTTACTAATAAATATTAGGTGTCGTGAAAGACCAAAGGATATATCTCGTGAAGTTTCCAGATGGACATGTTTGAAAAGAAGAATTCCAAGACAAGCTCTCAATTTACTTTTTTATGTTCTCTAGGAATTTCTTATTTCTATATAAAGACTTATAAACATAAGGAGAGAAATTTGAACTAATATCCTGGTGTAAGCCTTGTCAACTTCCCTTAAAAAAATCATCCTCTATTTGTTAAGTGAGTCCCTCTTCTCAAGTGAATAATTCCTTGAGTTCTATCCCTATCTCATTATTTTGTATTGATCATCCTCTTGTTATCAGAATTAAATTTTCATATTTCAGTTACTCCACCATTCGTCTTGCATCAAGTGGTATCAGAGCAAGTTTGCTATCTCTAAGTGTTATCGATAAGATAATGGTACATGAAAGGGGAAATTGCGGTGGAGGTCAAACTCCTATGGGTAATGTTTGAGAGATGTGATCGATGAATTATGACATTCAAATGCTAATCTCCAATGTATACTTGAGGAGATTTTGCATTGGTTACCAAGGCTAGAGACTCATAACAATCCACCTTTCAATGTCCTCAAAGAACTAATTGGAAAAAATGACTAAGGATGTCGGCTCCACATCTTCAAACTTCAATTCACCCGGAAGCTCCAATTCAACCTGATTATTGGGGTGTTTGGCAAAGGTTATTTTTTGGTTTTTTAGGCTAAAATTCACAAAAAGACAAAATATGCTAAAATAGTCAATAAGACAAAATGTCACATCAAACCCATAATCATTTCACTTCTTCTCTCACAAACATCACATCCAATTACAAAAAAAACCACCTATCTTCCCAAACACAAAAATTTTAACTTACTAAAAGAGTCAAAAACTAAAATAGCCTACTAAAATAGCAGCCTTCCAAACACCCACATTGAATTGCCTTGCTAGAGCTTTTGAGAATGCTGATAAGAGTGTTCAAGTTAATGTACCCGACTTTGATAGAAAACTTGACCTTGAAGCCTGTTGTCATTGGGTTGCTTTCTAAGAAGCACGGATACTTCTAAGAAGGTGACGTATCCGTGTCGTGTCCATGTTGGACACCGACACTCTTTGGACACTCTTAGGACACGTGTCCGACACTCTTCAAAACGTATCCTAATTTTTAAATTTTTTTAAACAGCCGAACACTCTTTTGATACTTGGAAGACACACATGTCAATCCCATAAACAAACGTGTCTATCGATTAGATACATGTGAAACTAATTATAAGTTTAAACAAAATAACTTAAGATACAATAATAAAACAAAAATTATATAAATTTATAAGAATTAATGTCATATTGCATTTTTTATTATCTTTGAATGATATATTAATATATATAACATATAATAAATATATAAAATTACATATTTCACGCGTGTCCCCTACGTGTCGTGTCCTTCTTTTTTTGAAAATTAACGTGTCAGCGTGTCCGTGTCGTATCCGTGTCGTGTCACGTGTCCGTGTCCATGCTTCTTAGGTTGCTTTTTTGGAGACTTACTTTTAATCGAAGAAGATGTTCCAAGAAAAAAGAGGTGCAATTTATAGCCATGAAGCTTAAAGATCATGCCGTAGTTTAGTGGCAGCAATACCAGGAAAAATTGTGAAAGAAAGGAAACCATCAAGTGAAGTCTTGGGCTGAAATGAAGGTCCAGCTCAGCGATAAATTTTTGCCCATATAATATTTTTTAACTTTGTATCAAGATACACCACTTTAAGGCAAAACAAGACCAAAGTGTAGCAAATTATACCGGAGAAATTTTACAAGTATTTAAGTTGGATTGATTTACATGAAATGGGTGATCAATTGACTGCTAGATATCTGAGTGGTCTAAAACTCGCCATTCATGATGAGCTTGTAATGCATCCTATTGGTTCTCTCTTGGAAGCTTATTAGATGGCGTTTACAGAAGAAGAGAAGTTGAGGCGAAAGTCTTCGAGGCGAGTAGAGAAAACCTCTCATGTCAAAACAAGTACAAACAATCAAGGTTCCACACGGTCCACCAAGCGACCAAACCCAAGTGATGGGGGGAGGTTATAAGGAAAATGTTTGTAGCCTCTCGTAAGCAAAACAATGGGAGAGACCAATTGTTTTCTTTGCAGAAAAACTGAGCGTCAAACTTATGAATGTCCTTACACAACAAAAGAAAACCCGTTGAATTTAACTGATGAAAATGAGATAGAAGAAAATAAAGATGAAAGCAACGTTCATGAAGATAATGGTGGAAGCACTGAAGAATTGTGTGGACCTAACAGTGAAGTTGAAAACTTTGTCATGAGAAGAATTTTGACAGCCCCAAAGCAATGTCTTCCACACTAATTGCATTGTGTGGACCTAACAGTGAAGTTGAAAACTTTGTCATGAGAAGAATTTTGACAGCCCCAAAGGAAGAGTTAAGTGAATCTTTGCTATGGAGCAATGTCTTTCCTGAAAATGATCAACAAAGTGTAATATCTTTTTGTCATGATCACCCGTGTAGAGGCCATTTTAGTGCTAAAAAGACAGCTGCCAAGATTTTGCAATGTGGATTTTATTGGCCTTCTATTTTTCGTGATTCATTTACATATTGCTCAGCCTGTGAGCGATGCCAACAATTAGGAAGTCTCTCTCGAAGAAACATGATGCCACTCAACCCGATTTTAATAGTCTAAATATTTGATGTGTGGGGCATTGATTTTATGGGACCATTTCTTAACTCTTTTGGTAATTTGTACATTCTTGTTGCAGTTGATTACGTGTCTAAGTGAGTGGAAGCCATTGCATGTAAAACTAATGATCATCGAGTTGTAGTCGGAGGGGCCAAGTCATAATTCTCCATACAAGGCCATCGTAGAGGATGCAAAGTTTTTAATGAAAAGATGTATTGCACACTGGGACACACCCTAAGGGAAGGAAACAAAGTTGCTGACAAATTGACAAACATGGGTGTGGCCAAGATGAACATGTGGTGTTACTGGATGACCCTCCAGAGATAGGTGATATGACTGGGATTAGTGTTGAGAGGGATTAACCCTCTAGGTTGATGTAATGTTACTTGTTTTATGGTTTGATTTGAATAAAAAAAATAAATAAAGACTTTGGTTTGAGAATTGACTTTTTTAATGATTTTTTTTTGACTAAAATTCTTTTTTCCCAAAGGAAGTCTAAATTGACACAAGTAACATATCAATAATAATAGAAACACTAACTAATATACTAATAATTATACTAACTAAACACAATCTTAATGATGTGTTTAGTTGGGGAATTTGGAAATGAATTTAGAAAGGAAAAAATAAAATAAAATAAAATAAAAATATAAGTGAAATGTGAATAAAATATACCTGCGTTTTATATAATTTCACACATTTTTTCTCTTTCCTTTTTTAAATCCCTTTTTAAATCTTCCAACCAAACACGGTAGAAGTGAATCCAATCAAATAGTAATATATATTTGGTTTCTAAGTATATTTGTTTGTATATTAATTAGTGTTTCTAATATTATTGGTAAACTATAGGAATGCAAGTGTAATTGACCCCCGCAAACTTTACCTGATTTAACATTTATAGTTTAGAGAATAATGGGCAAAAGGCACAAAATTTTTACGGCAATTTTTAAGTATGTAAGAGCATCCGCATCAGCCTCATCAAATTTTGAGTCAAATTATAACCCAAAATTCACTTTTGTATCTTAGCTAGCCTCTTTTTTATATACACACTCCATCAAGCTCTCTATTTTAAAATTCTATTTCATTAAAATATTATTTTTTATTCTTTTATCATTTTCAATTTAAATATATTTTGTTTCCAACCGTCATATTTTAAAAACGGCTATATTCCAACGGTTATATTCTAATGGTCATATTTCATCGGCTATATTTTAACGGTCATATTCCAACGGCTATATTCTAATGGTCATATTCCAACGGTCATATTCTTTCAATATAAATAAAGCCAATTGCTATCTAAATTTCATCCAGATCAGCCTAATTTTGCTATTTCATTTTGTATTTATTTTCTCTATATGGATCTTCATTTGCTAGACGATATGATTCTTTATGACTCTGACTTCGACGATGAGTTGGAGACAATCGGGATAGCTATTATGGAAGGGCAACGACTAGCAGCCAATACTTCATCAAGATCACGGCATAATTCTAGTCAACGCCGCAAATTCATTTGGCGCAATTCTTTGCAAGGTCACCAAAGACTCTTTCTAGATTATTTTGTTAATCCACCAGTATATCCTTCCAATGTATTTCGGAGGAGGTTTCGAATGAAACGTTCTCTTTTTCTCCGCATTCAATTTGGGGTAGAAGCTCATGAATCATATTTTGTCCAGAAAAGAAATAGTACCGGAGTGCTCGGTTTATCTTCCCTTCAGAAGATGACTGCAGCACTTAGAATGCTCGCTTATGGAGTAGCAGCTCATTTTATGGATGAATACTTGAGGATTGGAGAAAGTACCGCAATGAAGCGTATTTTATTTTGTCAAAGCGGTGGTTGAAATTTATTCCGATCAGTATTTGAGGTCACCAAACAACAATGACATTGCTAGACTACTAGCAGTTGGCAAAAGTCGTGGCTTTCCTGAAATGCTGGAAAGCATTGATTGTATGCACTGGACATGGAAGAATTGCCCGGCTGCATGGAAAGGTATGCATACTGGTCACACCCATGAACCAACAATTATTTTGGAAGCAGCTGCATCATATGATCTTTGGATATGGCATGCATTTTTTGGGTTACCTAGGTCTCATAATGATATCAATGTACTAGAAAGATCTACTGTATTTACTGAGCTTGCTCAAGGGTGTGCTTCTCCAGTCAATTACACCATCAACGGTAATGAGTATACACTGGAATATTATCTTGCTGATTGTATATATCCACCATGGGCAACATTTGTAAAAACAATTCCATGTCCACAAGGAAACAAGAAAAAACATTTCGCTATGGCCCAAGAGGCATGTAGGAAGGATCTGGAGCGTGCATTTGGGGTGCTTCAAGCACGTTTTGCAATTGTGCGTGGACCTGCACAATCTTGGAATCTTGAGTCAATTAAAGTTGTTATGAAGGCTTGTATAATATTGCACAATATGATTATTGAGGATGAGCGAAATGACAATAAAGCACAAGACATTGATTTTGAACAAATCGATGATACCCCTTTGGCACAAGTGTCACATGAGCGTACAATCGAGCTTATGGAATTCATTCAACAAAATCACCGTATCAGAAACAGAGCAATTCATTCTCAACTCCAATCAGATTTTGTTGAGCACTTGTGGCAACTATATAGCCAGTCATAGGAATAAGGTTTCATGTTTTAATTATTTTGTGGAAAATAAATGTATTATGTTTTTAATTATTTGTTTTAGTAATGAAAAATGGATTATAATTGAATTGGAAAAGTTTAATTAAATCATTATAATCCTTGAATACTCATTGTGTTTAACCATATTTTTGGAGTGCCAAATGATGTTAAAACAGGTATAAAATAAGACCCAAGACAACACCAGAGCAACAACAGAACAACAGCAACACAGGAGCCAGGGTGGTCGACCGGCCGGTCGACTGGTTAAGCAAAATTTTAACATTTTTCTTCTTCTCATGGGACATCCTGGGGGACATCCAAGATGGTGAGAACCTGATGAACTTCCAAGATGGTAAGAATGAAATTTGTGTGATGGCTCTAGTAAGTGTTCACAGTAATGGTGGTATGAGAGATAGTGTTCTTGTTAGTAGGAGATAGAAGTGCGGAAAAAAAAAATATAATAAAAAATTGATTACTCTATGAACAGTTCCTCACTTCATCAGATGAGGAACTGTAGCTTTGTCAAAATAAATGAAGCTCATAGCGACTCTGATGCATCAACATATTTACAGTTTGGCTTTCTACAATAGCGTCAAAGTCGTTGTAGCGACTCTGATGCTGATGCTCTAAATACATAACATATGTACTTATATAAATTCTCATAAATATACGTAAGTTGTGATTTTCAAATTTTTATGGATTAATTTACGTATATTTGTGAAAATTTACGCAATAATTTTTATGGATTAACTTACGTATGTTTGTGAAAATTTACGTGATTTTATGAGATAATTTATATATATTTGTGAGAACTTACACTAATATATACGGTATGCACCTTAGACACCCAAATACTTCTCAATTTTTTATTCCAAATGTACTTTCAATTGTACAATTATATGTCAAAATTCTAATTGCAGTGCAATAGAAAATAGAGGTGAACATAGTCCGAATTGGTTAACTTTGGAGTAAAATAAGTATCAATTCATTGTCTCTTGTTTTATAAAAATTAGAACCAAACCAATCAAATTCATTTAAATCATGAAACTAATTTGAGCCAAACCATTTAAACACGGTTTGGTTTGGTTTGCAACAATAGATTCACATCATCTATTAACAAAGAAAAACCACGTAACATTTCATAATTTTTCAAAATATAAACATGCATATTGTTCCATTATTAATTTAACAAACATAATATTTTGTACTACAATAGCAGCAGCAATCATCAAATTCAATAATAAATAAATAAATAAATTTAAAATTGATTCTACCATCAGACCATTACAAAACTAACACCAAAAAAAAAAAAAAAAAAAAAAAAAAAAAAAAAAAAAAACACAACAATAGCAATAAAATTCCATAACAACAGCATCATAGCAGCAAATTCCACACCATATACCACAGATATATGATATGAATTTAAGAGGTATGATAGTGTAAGAGATATGATAATATGTATCAAGAGTGTCTGATATGAATATAGTCTAAGTTGCATATGATCCTTATCAATTCCAATCCAAAACCATGAAGTATAATCCAGAACCGATCCACGAACCACGGTTCCTCAAATTTTCAATCCAAAATTGAACCATGGATTTAAAAAACCAATTCAAATCTACCGAATTAGCCTGGACCAGATCGATTGCAGTTTTTACAAATTCCTTACTCAGCTCTAACAGAAAATACATTTGAACAAAGATTTAAAAACAAAAAAGTCTATGGATCATGATAACCAAATCCGGAATGCTAAATCTATGGTGTAAAATCAAAATTGTATGTGCGGAACCATATCATCAATGAATTTGGACCTTTGATTTCAAATTCTGGGCAATTTCTGGTTCATGTCGGGATTCATAGAACTGCTCCTTAAAAATAGAAGATCTGCAAGGTTTACACAGTTTCTTTAGGTGTTGCCTCTCTGCCCTTGTGTGCACGCGCAACCGTGTGCACGAGTGAAGAATTGGTGTATATATATATATAAAGATTTAATTATCCAAAATCAAACCTGAAAACTGAAAAATAAAAGTTAAAGCATAACAGTTACAAAGAAAAGCCACCATTGTCATAGATTTTACATAGAGTGGCCATACAAGAGATCTTGAATGAAAATTTGAACTTGGGTCTCTGGAATACAACACTCACTTTTGTGACTACATTTTAGTGCTGAATCAATGACCGGCGGCCACTGTTGGGGAAAATATCTCTCACACAGTAACCAAAGGCAAGTGTTTATGTGTGTAGGTAAGGGGGTAGGAAGGGAAAAAAACACCATAAAATGTGCCCAAAATACAATAAAAGTGCCCCAACTATTCACATATACCTCTTATAATGATCTGCACATTCATCCAGATAATGACATCTTGGCGGCGAGATGGGTGAGAGCACGCCTGTGGTAAGTGCCACGTAGCTTCTTGTATTTCTGCACAAAAACTCCTACATCGATCTCCCTCTCAAGAAGCTGCCTGTGCAGGATCTCAGATTCCTCGTCTGTCTTATTCATTGCTTCTGTGAACAGGAAACACATCTTTTTAGATTGCCCATATAACAGAAAAGCCGTTGATGTCTGTCTCTCAATGATGATAACTATCAGGGGATTGTTAGAATATTGAGATTCGATTCATACGATTTGATACAAATTTGAACAAAACGATTTGATTCATGCTGTTGAACCTTAAATTGAGTGAATCATACGATTCACTATGATTCATTTTGTTTGCATATGAAACAGTTTGTTTTTGCAAAATAAAAACAGAAAAAATTAAGATCAATTAATTATATTGATCTATATGGTTTTATATGTATATACATATATACAATCTAGTTGTATTGATATTTATTTCATTTTGAACAGTGTATTTTTAAATGCATGCAATATATATATATAATTATATATATCATGCTAATTAAAGTAAATCTTACGATTCACAATTCAATATGATTCACAATTTGATACCTATCATTAAGTCTATTTTAATGTTTGTTAGAATCTTACCTTGAAGCCGATTGAGCAGGGATTTTGGAGAGTAAAACTTCAGGGTCTCTTCTTTTTGCCTCTCCAGCTCATTTAACTTCTCTTGAGCAGCAGCCAATTCAGTTGTCCGAATGATTTTGCACTGCAGGATCAAAAACAGCAGAGGAAAAAACATTTACAATCAGTATTCAGTATTAGCTACACGATTAAGAAATGAAATACAGGTTAAACAGTCCACCTGATTCCGCAGTTCCATTATGCGCGGTTCTTTCTCCAAATTATCCCCTACATTAAAAGATTATTTAGAATACAGCTGCTTATATGGTTCAAGTGTATAAGAGATACAATTGCGTGTATATATATATATGTCCATGTGTGTATGTAAAGAGGAACTCACTGGCAAGCTGCAAAGTCTCCTTTCGAAGTTCATCTCTCAGCTGATGTTTATCATAAGAAAGATCAGAATAATTGCAAAAATAATTCACAAGGTTATCACAAAATGACCTATGTATCATGTAAAAGACACTAAACTCCCCACTGATAGAGCTGTAATTTACACCAGCTAATGTATGTTGCATGCACAAGCATGCAATATTTTTGAAGTAAAATACAGCCCAGACTGTCTACTCTGGTGTAACAAGTGTTTGTCTGCAGAGATGCTTCACCACAACTTCAAGCTGGCTTCATATATGAAGTTTTTGTCTATGTTACATGACATATTGGCTACATCAAGAAATTCAAATGGAGGCTGTTTACCGTGAGCACATCCAATGCAACATAGGATCAACTCATATGGTACTAGAAATAATTTTTAAGCCCTTATGCAACCATTTAATACAGAACTCTGGATTATTATCAGCTATCAAGTCCATAGAAACCATGCAGGTGCACTACTAACTCTGAATAGCTCCACCATATTTATCTTAAATCATTTAGGTCAGTGAAAAAATGGATATTGGTCATATTTCAGATGTTCATATAATTTGAAATATTAAAAAATAATTTTTTGCTGCAATCCACAAAACTCCTGCGTGGCACATATGAAGATGAGAAAATTCATTCTTTTTTAAGGAAAATTTGGAGCAATAGAGTTAGCAAAAATAAAGGGGCATCAAAATGTCTATTTCTCTAACCCCAGTAAAAAACAATGGTCACCACCACAGACATCAATTTCAGATATTAAACAAACATTCAAATATAGAGAGGAGTTAAACCCTAATTTTATTAAAAATATAGCCAAACAATCCAAATCGTATAAAATATTCACATTTAGTCAAGGGCTTTTACTAAATTCAAACTGTTAATTATAATCAATAGGACATTCATTCTCAAGTTTATAGCAGAAATAAGCAAAACACATTGAGGATGGCCAACTTTACAATTTACACATTCACAATTTATTGAAGAGAAACCTTGCTGGAAAGAATAAAATACATCATTAATTCTGAAAATTAATTTAAAAAATTAGGGAAAATAGAGATAGAAAAATAGAGAAATTGAGTGAGCCAGATGAGGTCCATTCCTACAGAATTTTGTGCCTACATCTTGTTGCTGAGCTAGACAATTCTACTTTTATAAATAAGGAACAACCGAAGATGAGTTATAGTATATAGTAAACTCAAAGCAAAAGAAGGTCAATGTAAAGCAAGCAAGGTTCAAAAAGTTACAAGTAGAAATGCAGGTGAAAGCATAAAAATCAAAATCAACTTACATTGTTTTGAATTTTAACCTGATCGAGTGAGAGAAAGAATTGGTTGTATGCATCTTTGTCGGATAAAAGCTTCCGTAACTCATCCATGCTGAATCAATTGTAATAAGAAAAGAAGAGAATGATCAGAAAATACAAAAATGCAAAGCAAAAAGTTCAACAACCTAGATTTCTAGATTGATTTTTGCAATATTAAACGAAATGAAAATTGATGCTAATGTGGTGCTGGCAACATATACATATACTGATATGGTGGTCAATGGCATTGGCAATGGTAATAGATCTAGTAAAGAATTCTTTTTACTAATAAATATTAGGTGTTGTGAAAGACCAAAGGATATATCTCGTGAAGTTTCAAGATGGACATGTTTGAAAAGAAGAATTCCAAGACAAGCTCTCAATTTACTTTTTTATGTTCTCTAGGAATTTCTTATTTCTATATAAAGACTTATAAACATAAGGAGAGAAATTTGAACTAATTTCCTGGTGTAAGCCTTGTCAACTTCCCTTAAAAAAATCATCCTCTATTTGTTAAGTGAGTCCCTCTTCTCAAGTGAATAATTCCTTGAGTTCTATCCCTATCTCATTATTTTGTATTGATCCTCTTGTTATCAGAATTAAATTTTCATATTTCAGTTACTCCACCATTCGTCTTGCATCAAGTGGCATCAGAGCAAGTTTGCTATCTCTAAGTGTTATCAATAAGATAATGGTACATGAAAGGGGAAATTGCGGTGGAGGTCAAACTCCTATTGGTAATGTTTAAGAGATGTGATCGATGAATTATGACATTCAAATGCTAATCTCCAATGTATACTTGAGGAGAATTTGCATTGGTTACCAAGGCTAGAGACTCAACAATCCACCTTTCAATGTCCTCAAAGAACTAATTGGAAAAAATGACTAAGGATGTTGGCTCCACATCTTCAAACTTCAATTCACCCGGAAGCTCCAATTCAACCTGATTATTGGGGTGTTTGGCAAAGGTTATTTTTTGGTTTTTTAGGCTAAAATTCACAAAAAGACAAAATATGCTAAAATAGTCAATAAGACAAAATGTCACATCAAATCCATAATCATTTCACTTTTTCTCTCACAAACATCACATCCAATTACAAAAAAAACCACATATCTTCCCAAACACAAAAATTTTAACTTACTAAAATAGTCAAAAATTAAAATAGCCTACTAAAATAGCAGCCTTCGGAACACCCACATTGAATTGTCTTGCTAGAGCTTTTGAGAATGCTGATAAGAGTGTTCAAGTTAATGTACCTGACTTTGATAGAAAACTTGACCTTGAAGCCTGTTGTCATTGGGTTGCTTTTTTGGAGACTTACTTTTAATCGAAGAAGATGTTCCAAGAAAAAAGAGGTGCAATTTATAGCCATGAAGCTTAAAGATCATGCCGTAGTTTAGTGGCAGCAATACCAGGAAAAATTGTGAAAGAAAGGAAACCATCAAGTGAAGTCTTGGGCTGAAATGAAGGTCCAGCTCAGCGATAAATTTTTGCCCATATAATATTTTTTAACTTTGTATCAAGATACACCACTTTAAGGCAAAACAAGACCAAAGTGTAGCAAATTATACCGGAGAAATTTTACAAGTATTTAAGTTGGATTGATTTACATGAAATGGGTGATCAATTGACTGCTAGATATCTGAGTGGTCTAAAACTCGCCATTCATGATGAGCTTGTAATGCATCCTATTGGTTCTCTCTTGGAAGCTTATTAGATGGCGTTTACAGAAGAAGAGAAGTTGAGGCGAAAGTCTTCGAGGCGAGTAGAGAAAACCTCTCATGTCAAAACAAGTACAAACAATCAAGGTTCCACACGGTCCACCAAGCGACCAAACCCAAGTGATGGGGGGAGGTTATAAGGAAAATGTTTGTAGCCTCTCGTAAGCAAAACAATGGGAGAGACCAATTGTTTTCTTTGCAGAAAAACTGAGCGTCAAACTTATGAATGTCCTTACACGACGAAAGAAAACCGGTTGAATTTAACTGATGAAAATGAAATAAAAGAAAATAAAGATGAAAAGCAATGTTCATGAAGGTAATGGTGGGAGCACTGAGGAATTGTGTGGACCTAATAGTGAAGTTGAAAACTTTGTCAAGACAAGAATTTTGACAGCCCCAAAGGAAGAGTTAAGTGAATCTTTGCTAGATAAAAGAAAACCAATAGGAGGGGAGTGATTATCAAGCTTGATTTTGAAAAGGCTTTTGATTTCGTAAATTGGTGCTTCTTATCAACTATGCTCTTAAACTTTGGGTTTGGAACAAAATGGATTAACTGGATAAAAGAGTGTGTTACCTCTGCAAGACTCTCTGTGTTAGTCAATGGTTCACCAACTGAGGAGTTTTGTCCTCAAAAGGGTCTTAGGCAAGGAGACCCTCTGTCTTTTTCTGTTCAACATGGCAACTGAGAGCCTTAATATACTTATGTCAAGAGCATAGCAGATTGGCTTGATTAAAGGGGTGAAGGTTGGCTCTAGTGGGATGGTGCTATCACATTTACAATTTGCAGATGACTCCATACTGTTTTGTGAAGATGAGGAGCTGGAGGTGTGTAATATCAAGAGGGTTTTAAGGTGCTTTGAATTGATTTCTGGGCTAAAAATAAACTTTCATAAGAGTCAGGTGTGTGGAATTAATGTTCCAGAGGAGTCTTTATCCAATTTTGCATCAAAACTACACTGCAATTTCAAGGCATTTCCTTTGAAGTACTTGGGTATGCCTTTGGGGGCTAATCTAGATAACAAGTCAACTTGGAAACCGGTTCTTGATAAAGTCAGAAGCAGACTAGCAGGATGGAAAAGGAAGTTGCTTTCATTCTCAGGGAGGCTCACTCTTCTAAAGTCCTTAACCTCAGCCTTACCATAGTTCTATTTATCTCTATTCAAAATGCTTGCAGGGGTAGCAAAGGAATATGAGAAACTGTAGGCTGCTTTTCTTTGGGGTGGGTCACAATCAAGGAAACCAATTCATCTTGTTAAATGGGATGACTTAGCAAAAAGTGTGAAGCAGGGAGGCCTAGGCATTAGGAGAATCAGGTAGGTCAATAATTATATGTTATTAAAATGGTGGTGGAGATTTGGCAAAGAGAAAGATGCTTTGTGGAGAAAGATCATATGCAGCAAATACAATCTGGAAGTTAAAAGCTGGTGTCCCTCTTCTACTTCAAGCAGCAGGCAATCTTGTGTTTGGAAAGGCATAATCTCCATACCAAAAAGAAATAACAATCTGTCAATGTTCTATTATAACAACGTTCATATCAAGGTAGGGGATGGTAAAGAACCAACTTCTGGAAAGACAATTGGTGCAGCAATCACTGCTTCAAAGTTGAATTTCCTATTCTTTATAGATTGGTGCTGGATAAAGAGGAATCCCTGAGATCATTGCATGACAGCAGTGTTGCTTCAGGGAATTGGAACTTTCAATTTAGAAGAAGGCTGTACGAGTGGGAAGAGAGGGAAGTCAGCAGACTCAAAATGCTTCTGCCATTTGTTTCTGGTTTATGCGATGATCTGGAAGACAAACCAGTCTGGTTGGCTGCAGATTCTGGTCTGTATTCTGTTTCCTCAACCTATAGAAGTGAAGCTGTCTCCCTTGGTCCGCCCCTTAATACTTGTATGTTAATCTGGAACAGATTTGCACCTCCTAAAGTTCAATTTTTTTGTTGGTTAGCCTGGAAAAACAGAGTCAAGTCAGCAGAATTTCTTCAAAAAATTGGAGTGATTCAAGTTAATGCTCCAGCCCTCTGTGTTTTTTTGTAAAACTGAGATTGAATCGATCTGTCATGTGCTATTGCCATTTTTCATGAAAGGTATGGGCTGCGATGTTGAACTGGTGGGAGATGCAAGGAGCTCTTCCAAATTCTATAGAAACTGCTCTTCATTGGTGGGATTGTGATCAAATGAACAGCAAAGAAAAATTAATTTGGAAGGTCATCCCCTTGGCAGTCTTGTGGTCACTGTGGAAACTTAAGAATGAGTGCATTTTTGAGTCTGTTACACCTAAGTTGGAGGAAGTTTGTGATTTGATTAAGATTAGAGTTGCATTGTGGCTGAATCAAACATTTAAGGATTCTCAATTCACCATTCTGGACTTCTTGACCAATCTGAGCCAAATCAGATGCAGCTTGGGGAGTAAAATTGTATTGGGCTGCTGATATAGATCTCTCTTGTGCTTTGGGTTGGTGTCTTACCAACTATGGGTGGATGGTGATTTCTATTTCTTTGTTTGTTTCTAGGTGCCAACTTAGTTGGGCTCAGGTTTTCTTTTTATTGATAATTGTCTATGTATTTGCTTGATCATTATCAATAAATTTTCCTTTTGGTTGTTTCAAAAAAAAAAAAAAAAAGTGAATCTTTGCTATGGAACAATATCTTCCACACTAATTGCATTGCCTGTGGCAAGACATGGTTTTTATCAACTTGGGAATAGTGAGAATATGGTGGTATAAAAATGGTGAAAAAGCTGAAATTGAAGTGTGAGAAGCCATGGTTGTTAAAATCGCGATCCGGATCGTAGGATCATACGATCCTACAATCCTACTTTGCCAAAACGATCCACATCGTTGTAGGATCGATGTTATAACAGGATCGCAAGTAGGATCGTGTAGGATCGCATGGGATCGTGTAGGATCGTATGGGATCGTAGGTAGGATCGCAAGTAGGATTGTAGATTTTATGATTTTTCACCTTATTTTTAATATGTATCATTTTAATTTTTATTTTTATCCTTTTTTTAATAGAAAGTAGGATCTTACGATCCTCAATCCGATCCTACGATCCGATCCACCAGACCCTCTCACCGATCCTACTTAGGATCCCGATTTTAACAACCTTGTGAGAAGCACCCAAAGAGCCTACAAGATTTTCAAACAAAGAGAATGCTTGGTAAAGTTCTCCATTGGTATGTACCTATGAAACATGGATACAAGAACGAATGCTGATATTGGTATGATATGAATATGCCGGTACCAAAAAAAATAAAAATAAAAATTAAGAAACAATGTACAACCAGGGTACGTCCATAAAAAAATATTTTTATTTGTAATAGTTAGTGCATGATATAACAATTAGAAAACTAAGTGCAAAAATAGTTAAAGCAAAGTACAAACTACAGTTTAATGCCAGAAAGTAGTTAAAAGTAAACTACAAAGTAGTTCTTTATGATTTTAAAATTTGCAAGATACCCTTCATTTGTTTTATTTAGACATAGACACAATATACTTATCATGTACCTTCATATTTTTTAAAACATCATTTCAGCCTTGATGTATCCAAATAAGGACCAGGTGCGTACCCAAGATCCATATATTTTTTTTATTCTGTTAAATGGATATATATTCGTGTACCCAATACATATGCAACTATACCCATACCAAATATGGGTCCGATACTCATACAACATCATTTTTATAGTACCCATGTTTCATAGGCGAGTACCAAGATGAGATTCGGTTCAATGTTGACTTTTACCAATGGACACTTATTATCACTCGGGAGGCCATGACAATACGATAATCTGTTTATTACCTAAGGGGAACAAAATGTGTTAACAACATTGAAAGAAATTCTAGAAAAGGGCATTAGAGAAGAAACTACAAGTCACTTGTCTATAAAGGGCATTAGTTCATTCAAGCTTGTGCTTAGATCCTAAAAGAAACTCATGTCCGTCTAATTGATAAACACACGTGTTTCTTGAATGTGTCCAAAGAGTTAAAAACATACACTACTGGGAAAATGCATTGCCTTTATCTGATGTACGTCTAATTGATTAACACATGCATTCCTTGCATGTGTCCAAAGTGTTAAAAATATGTACTATTGGGAAAATGCTTTGTTTTTTGATAAATGCCTATAATAATGATAATAACTTATAACTTTTCTTGTGGATGAACTTATATAAAATGTTTTTAGAATATTTTTATCTTACGTTTCTATTTTTTTATGAAGTATTTATTATGAATGAATACCACCGAACGCAAGGATCATTGGCTAGTTGTTATAAATAACATAACTACTCAATGTTCATATCCAATCATCCCAGCTTTCATAATCAATGGAGTACCAAAAGTGATGGTCAGAAATTGCCCTCAACAAAGCTTTCCCTTCAAGAGAAAGGTAGAAATGTGAAGATTTTTTCAATTGCTCTTAATCAATTTACCACACACAGCATCCAACTTCAACACGTCTGAGTCTGACAAGTATGACTATAATTGATGATGACATACAAAATACAAACTTGACCACTATCTAAAAATAAATAAATAAATTATAGGGGTGAACAAACTGAAATGGGAAAACCAACAATGTTGTTAAGTGCATTTGGAGATCAATAAATTTCAAGAAGTAAAAATAAAGAAAAAATGGAAACGTTCTTACCAATATGATAATAAAGGAGTCAGGAATCCAGGAAGCTTACCTCTTATCCTTTAATAGAACAATAATGCCTGCAGCTTCAGCAGGCGCAACATGAGACGGTGACTGTGGCCGATCTGCAGGCCTTTGCAGATTGAAGCTATTAGAAGCGCTGCTACTAGGTGTTGCGGGGCGGGATGAACTTGAAGAGCTAAGTACAGACGGAGGATACCATGAATTTGTAGGAATCTCTTGCGGGTGTGGTTGAGCTTCCTGCTCTTGAGAACCCCTGTAGGTAAACAAAGTTAGCTTTAGCCATACTACAAAGTTTATAGCAGTAAAAAAATTACATTAAAGCTTATTACTCTGCTCGACAGAATTTCAATTTGAACAGGCACATGGTTATAGGAGAGCATCCCACACATAGTTTAAGGGCAAACTAAGTGACAATCAATGGAAAAACTAGGTCTTGTAGTAGAAACTTCAACACTTACCATGTATAGAGGTAACAAGTCTTATAAATAAATAAAACATGCTCAGTACAAAGTGTTTCTGGGTATGCAAGATGCTCCAATTGAAAAAAGAAAAAGACAAGAGCTGTACAATATACTGAAACTGCAAGTCAAGTAAATTCAAATATTTAAAAGCCAATGCTATCTACTAGCACAAGTTCATTATGGAGTAGCAATGACAATTGCGTGGAACCATATCTAGTAGGACCCCAGGACAAGCAGAGACCTAATAAATCAATCTTGATTGACAAATAGGTCGAGTTTTAACCTATCTTACATGGATATAACAAGGATAAATGTGTGAAATATGTGTCTGATATCCGTACCCAATTTAAACACTTGAATCTTTCAACCTTTTACAATGTTTGAAGTATAAGAAACTCACATTCGCTAGAAAGAAATATTTATAACCTCCAACATAGATGAGAGATAAAAGTTTCACATTTTTTCTTTATCTTATTTAATTTCAAGCAATTTCTACCTAATTTATAATATCTTATTTAAAAATATTATATAATGTGTAATATATATGTTTCCATAATGAGCATACCCATATCTTATTTTGGATACATATCCTAATATCTTAAGATTTAATTTTATCAAGGTTTGACACTCAACCATGCACTCGTGCCCAATATTCTTACCCGAGTCCCTATAACATAGGTTTTAACCACTCGTGCCCAATATCCCCTTTCTCAAATTGCCATATATCTCAAAACCCAGACAACCCATTAAAGCCACTCTCCTTTTCACCTTTCTCTCAATCAGTTTTTCCACTCCTTCCTCCTTCATCCTCTGTTTCAAATTACACCCCACTTCATGTTCTCTACCCCCTCCATACCAATCAGCAAAACCCTTTCAGTCTGCTTTGTTCTATTTACGTCTGTTATCTACTGTCATTTCCCAAACACTACACCCATGAAACAATCATGAAGATGAAGAATCCCATAAAAACATAAAGCAGAAGGGCCAAACAAACAAATGATTGAACTTGAATGACCAAAACAGCTCTGCTTGACCCAAATCTATATACTTCAAAAATTTTACAAACAAAAGTAAAAAAACAAAAAAAATTGATTAAAAAAACACAAAAGCCCTAGAATTGAGTTTCTGCATGAAATTAGTAACAGAACTGAACCAAGAAAATCAAATTCAATAATCAGAGTAAAAAAAAAAAACCCTAATCGTGAAAATGGACAAAAAGCTGAAATTGAGGGAGAGATTACCAGAAGGACTTGAACATGACTAAGGAGAGAGGTCGGTAATCGTGGGGGGATTGATTGAAAGCGCAGAGAATTGTGTAGATGTATACAACAACCCACGACGATTACGATCTGACAACTCTCTCTCTCTCTCTCTCTCTCTCTTTGTGTATCTAACAGGGTTTTCGTTTGCCTAGGGTTTTGATTTGCGAGCAGTTGATGGGGACTGATAGTGAAATACGCGTGGCGAGCGCAAAGAAATTGCAAATGATTTTCGTTTTCTTTAGCCGACGTTTCCTGAAAAATTATACTATATTAATTTTTTATTACTAGTTAAAATATTTATAAAAAAATTATTTTGAGTAACTTTTATTTATTAATTTATGTCCCCGTTTGGCAAGGGAATTGAGTTTAGATTAAGTCAAAAAAAATATAAAAAGAAAAAATATATTAAAAAAGTTAATAAAAGAAAATGTTACATTTAAATCATAATCATTTCACTTTTTCTTTTAAAAAAATTAAAAAATTCTTCCTAAATTGAGGCTAAGTTTGGGGATTTCAAAAAAAGCCAAAAAGTCAAAAAGTTACTCAAAAAGTTAAAAAGTTTTGGGGACTTTAAAAAAAGTCAAAAAGTCAAAAAATTACTCAAAAAGTTAAAAAGTTAACACTATTCACCAAAAGTCAACAATTACGGCTGCACAACTCCCAATTCAAATTTTTCTCTACAAATCAATTTTTACAATTTTTTATTACACATTTTTCAATAAAAAGTCAAAAAGTTAACCCAAACATCCATATTTTCAACCTCAATTTTTTAGTCCAAAAAGACAAAAAGTGCACTTTTTTAGTCTTCCCAAACTTGGCCTGAATTAATTTAGCCAGGCTAAAGCTTCGTTTGATTTTAGATTTTTGGTTAAAAAAACACAAAAAGATAAAATCGGTTACATAAATCAATAAGATAAAATGTCACATCTAAACTATAATCATTACACTTTTTCTCTCATAAAAGTCAAAAAAGCCAAACCAAACAAGACTAAAAAAAACTAGGCTAAAGAAGTCTCAACACAAAAAAACTAGCTAAAAAAGCCAATGCCAAACGAAAAATTAGTCAAAAAGTAAAAGGATAGGCTAAAAAAGTTCTTCCCAAACGAATCTTATATACTACAACGCTACCCTTTATTATATCTATTTATACACACAAACGGTTAGGCAACGTTTGGGAAGTGATTTTGTGGGTTTTTTTTGGCTATTTTAGCCACAAAAGATAAAATAGGCTACTTTAGCCACAACAAACAAAACATCACATCCAACCAATAATCATTACACTTTTCTCTCACAAAAAAAGTAAAAAAAATCAAAAAACCAAAAAGCCTTTCTCAAACCAAGTTTTTTAGCCCAGACTAAAATAGCCAAAAAAGTCAAAAAACCAAAAAGCCAACCCACTTCCCAAACCAATCCTAAATAGTCTTCCAAAACTCTTCAAATATAACTAGTCTCAAATAATTTGGTTAAAATAATTATTGTAAAAGCTAGTATATTAGAGTGATTAAAATATGATAATACTAATTATAATAGTTAACATGTCCAATTTAGAGTTCATTGGAAATGCTCTAAGTAGAACACCAAACAGTCTGATACAAAAAAAAAAAAAAAAGGGAAAAATGAAAAAATAATTTGAAATTCATGAAAGTATAAATGGCTCATGCACTAATTAGTCTAAAAAAATGTTATACTTTTATGCATTTGAATTATTTTACTGTTTTCTTACTTTTTTTATATTCCCCCCTATATTATACGTATTTTTATTTTTAATAAATTACATGTGACTTTCTCTAAATTTTAAAAATAATTGATATAATTATATTAGAATCTATTAATGATTTTTTAAAAAATTATTTAAAAAAATTAGAATTTGATGCTTATAACAAAATAAATTATTGAATTTTTAATTTTATCAATTTAAAATTTAAAATTTTAATAATATTTCAATAAGAAGGTGCCAATGGTGGCATATGGTGATAGGGGTGGTTGAGGTGATGTTACTAGTGTAATTGCATTAGTAAGATTTTAGCTCGAAAATATATTTCACTTTTCAGAAGTGAACTATTTTCCTTCAATATAAATTTGCTTTCTGGTGATCACAAAAAATATTTTCAATTGACTTCTGTCTTATGTTACATTTTTTTTTTCCAGTGAATAAGTCATATCTTATGTCACATATCAAATGCCAAAAAATATATTTTAAAAAATATTTTCTACCAAAACGTCATCAGGGGAATTACACAACTATATATGGAAAATCCAATTCAAGTTTTCACTTTCATTTTTTGGATGAACTACTCACAGGACCTCCTAACAAGGATCCTTTACAGTTTTTTTTTCTTAAAATTTTCTAAAGTGGTGCATTTTGTGGTTGAGATTTAATGACAAGTCACATCAATTTTTTAACATTAAATCTCAACCACACAATGCATCACTTTAAAAAATTTTAAGAAAAAAACACTCTAGAGGATCATTGGTGCCTCATTGGAGCCATATAAAATTGTTGTCCATGGATTTAGAAGGATCCTCAACTCTATTAGGACATTATGAAGGCTCAACTACCAGAACATGTGAACCTCTACATTAGACAATTCACAACAATGAATAATATATAAAAAGTGAAAGTTTAATGAATGGTTTTTGAACTTCATAAACAAATTTGATATGGAAACAAACAAAAGACTATCCATAGACTCCATTATTGTATCCAGACGAAATGGCTAGAAGAATGTTAGAAAGATGAGTACAAATGCCTCATTTGGACCTCACTTTATAAATCAATTTATTTGACTTTTTTACATACTAAGGGGTATTTTGAGAAGATAGTTAAAAATTACTTTTTAAATTTTTTGTGAGGGAAGTAAGTGGATTAAAAATTAAAAAGTAACTTTTAATCAATTTTTCAAAATAGCCCTGAATATGAACTTTATAAGAACCTAAAAAATTCTCTTAAAATAAATCAGCAGATGAAAAAAAAAAAAACAAAAAAAGTAGAAGATTATTTTAGCAAAAAAAAAAACTAACAAATTTATCAAACAATATACTAACTTATTTAATTAAAGTCAAAAAGTTATGAGAGCATCTCGACAGTTAATTTCAAATCTTAGGTGATAGGTGATGTTAATTGAAGTCAAAAAGTTATGAGAATATTTTCTAATTGTTCAATAGCTAAAAGTTATTATGCATGCTAGTTAATTGTGAGAAAATGTGTGGTCTTTCGTTGCTTGAATATAGTTTGGGCATGCATTGAAGGACTGTGGTTAAGAGAAGATGACGATCGCCGACCAGAGCAACTCACCCAACTACGAAAAATCCTCTGAGGAAGAGGATCATCTAATTAGGAGCACAAAGAAGATTAAGAGTTCAATCTCAGTGGAGGAAAAGCCCATGGAGACAGAGATAGCTATGGAGACTGAGGAATTAGGGGCACAATCTACGTTGTCACACCCTCCTCCTACACAGCCTGATCACTCTCGATCCTTCAAGGCAGTTCTAACTGAACGAAAGATCGGAGACTATATCTTTGATGATAAAGTTGAGATCCTTTCATCCGACGAGGAGGACGAGCCGAGTGGAGATCAGAGAATTAATTTCACAACTGAGGCCAGAACTTCAGAACATTTGGGTTTTCCCCAAATCTCACTGCCGAAAAGACTTCTAGAAAAAATTCGAAAACCGTGGGAGAGCTCTCTCATTGTCAAACTCCTGGGCAAGAGCATAGGCTATAAAATGCTCTGTACAAGAGTGAGAAACGTTTGGGGGCTCCAAGGAGAGTTCAATGCGATTGATTTGGGCAACAACTATTTTCTCTTTAAATTTTCAGAGCAGGAGGATTACTCCAAAGTCTACACAGGGGGTCCCTGGATTATCATGGACCACTATCTCACTGTGCGACGTTGGGAACCAAACTTCAAGCCATCGGAAGCACTCGAAACCAAAACTGCTATCTGGGTTCGGTTTCCAGAGCTTCCGATTGAGTATTACCAGGAAAAAGTTCTCTTTGCAATTGCCAAATCTCTTGGTAAACCCCTCAAAATTGACTGGACCACTGCCATGGCCACCAGGGGGAAGTTCGCCAGAATCTGTATAGAAATAGACCTCACTACACCTCTTAAACCCAAGTTCATTTTAGAAGGTAAATACTACAATATCGAGTATGAATCATTGCACTCATTTTGTTTTTTGTGTGGCAGGATTGACCATCGCAAGGAAGCTTGTCGATTCAAGGAGGCCACCCTAACAACGGCGGTAGGGCAAAATCCAGCCAGCTCCGGGGATAGTGGTCCAATCACAAAAATGCCTACATCCAACGGTCACTTGCAATTGCAACAGGAGGAGGAAACCACTTTTGGACCTTGGATGCTAGTGACAAAACGGGGTCGAAAGATGGCCCAGAGCCGTAAAGGACAAGATGGGTCTGGTCCATTACAATCCAATAATAGATTCAAATACCTTGACGCCAATCAAGGTGGCCCAGGAGACCATACCCGAGGAAAAAAAACAACACAATCAGGGGCAGAGAAAGCCCAAATTGAAATTCAACCCACTCAAATCGGCTCCCATTTAAAACCGGACCCCAAAGGTAAAACCAAAGTTGGTCAGAATCAACCCCTCCCCAAGAAACCAGAACCCCAGCTGCAGGTTTCCACTAGTTCAATTCCAATGGAAGAGTGCTCAACACATCAACATAGTGATATGATGTCAGAAATACCAGACTGCCACCAACCCGACACCTCCAGTCACCCCATTGACCGCCAGGGTCACATGAGCCCAACTGTCACTGTATGTACTGAGAACTATCCCACACGGCAAATGGATCTAACCATGGTAGAGGTTACTCATATGCCAGATCAGGTGACCTTACCCATCCCTAGTTCATATCCTATTGCTACTCTTGAGGACCATCAGCAGAAAGAAGCCATCCCTCCTGACCCCGGTGAAGTGAAAGATGGAGAGGCAAGAGCAATTAATCCCACCCAGGCTAGAGGTGCAACAACATCTGAAACAGACGCATGCAGTGGGACTTTTGTTAGAACCAGAGACCGAAGCAACTCACCTCGTTGCTTTCGTCTGGTGGATAGAGCAACTTCGATTGACACTCGAGCCAAGCTGGGAGAACAATCCAATGAAACCCTTTCATTCGATCCAACTAGCCTCCATGAGAGATGCGGAGGCCGATCACAGGCGGATACGTAGTATCCTGAAGGACTGGGTAAC